ACTGGATAATGAACAGATAAGGTAACAGATGTCACTGGAAAATGATCTTTTGTGCTAAAATATATCATTAAACATCAAAAGTTTCAAGTGTCAAATTCTGTGTTATGGCTTACACAGAGAATGTAATCTGTTAATACCAAAAGGTTAACAGAATGGCCCAAAAGAATGCCTCATTAGGTTAAGAATCTCACATATGTTGTAAATATACACAAAATGAAATGTATACTCAGATATTTATTTACTGGAACTTCATTAATAATGAGCAAACAAAAATTAAGTAAGCAGCAACATAAGGATATGCTTTTAGAAAAGGGCTGGGAAAGAGTTCTTGGCAATAGCTTAGGGGGAGGCATGATGATAATGATCACAATCATGGTAAACTATATGCTACAGACACTGTTCTAAATGCTTTATTTAAACCTATTCATGTGATCCTAACAATCAAGGTATTGACTTCATTACTAGGAGGAAACTGAGACAGCAAGAAGTAACTAATTCAAGGGTTGCACAGTACTAGAGCTGGAATTTGAAAAAAAGCAGTCTAGCTTTATAGCTCGGCAGTCTAGCTTTATAGCTCTGGCTTTTAACACTGCCTACCTACTCCTTCCAGATAATCTACAAAGGACAAAGTTATCATTTAAAACTCAAGGACAAGAGAAAATACTCCCATGAACTAACAAAAAGATTAAGTAGTTCAAGAATACTAACAAACTCTTCAGGAACTATAGGTATACTAGCTGGGATACAATTACTCAATGGATTGCCCTTGCTTAATTTAAATATGCCTTAAACTTGTATCACCTTTTATCTGACACAGAAAATTACCTCCTGTTCAAATTTCCTTGATTCTGCAAACCAAGGAGCATATTTCAAAATAAGCTTTGTATGAGAGTCTACATAATACCTAACCTCAGTCTAGCAAACTCTATCCAAAGTTGCTTTGCCATACAAAATAAGGAATTTGAGTGAATATGGTCTTAAAAATTTACTACTCCCCAAAATATTTGCAATGCTTTGTGAAAGCAGATTAACAATTTACAAAACCACAACAAAGTTATCACTTCCATTTGTCCGGTTTATTAGGATTCTCCAATCTAGAGTTCATTTTCACACCAAAATGGAATCCACACCAGGGGCTCTTGGGCAAAAATAGGAATGATAGTAGCATTTAGCACTATCATCTCTGAGAAAGACTAAAGAGACTAAAAAGTTTGTGAAATCAATGGAACCAAAAAAAGAGCACTCAACAATACAAAGAAGTAATCTTCTACAATGACTATTTACTCAGAATAAAGTAACTAGAGAAATGGCTCTCTATATAATAAATAATTAACAGAACAAAATATTAAAATTACAAACAGCTTGGAGAGTTTGTTTTGAAGGAGTCTTGCTCTGTCACCAGGCTGGAGTGCAGTAGCACGATCTGCAACCTCCTCCTCCGGAGTTTAAGCAATTCTCTGGCCTCCGTCTCCCCAGTAGCTGGGACTACAGGTGCAAGCCGCCATGCCCAGCTAAGTTTTTGTATTTTTTTTTTTTTTTTAAGTTTTTGTATTTTTATAAGTAGAGACGGGGTTTCACCATGTTGCCCAGACTGGTTGCAAACCCCTGAGGCTCTGGCAATCCGCCCACCGTGGCCTCCCAAAGTGCTAGGATTACAGGTGTGAGCCACAGCGCCCGGCCATTTTGTTTGTTTGTTTGTTGAATGGAGTCTCCCTCTGTTGCCCAGGCTGGAGTGTTGTGGTGCAATCTCGGCTCACTGCAACTGGTTCAAGCGATTCTCGTGCCTCAGCCTTCCGAGGAGCTGGGATTACAGGTGTCCACCACCATGCCTGGCTAATTTTTTCTATTTTTTGTAGAGATGGGTTTCACCATGTTAGAAAGGCTGGTCTCAATTCCTGACCTCAGGTGATTTGCCTGCCTCAGCCTCCAAAAGTGCTGGATTACAGCGGTGAGCCACGTCCCCGGCCAGTTCTCTCCTACTCTTTAGCAACGACATTCACTACAAGGCTCCTCTGTCATTTCCACTGGCCAGAAAGAAGATAACTCATCACGTGATAGTCATGAAACGTGAACTGAGACAAACTACTCTGAAGAATATAACTGATTTTCTTTCCTTAAGCTATTACACTTCAGATCTAGCCAAGCACAGTTTTCGCTATGCTACAATTTATAAGACTAAACTAGCTAAAGAGAAAAAAAGTTTGTAAATAAAGTTTGTGTGTCTATGTGTGTTTGTGGATAGATCCCTTTAATAATTAAGAGTAATCATTTTCATGTGAACCAGGAAATATGACCAAACCATAATGAGATGCCTGGATACAATCTTGTTAGAACAAACACCTGAGACCTTACAGTTCATGTTCTAGCACTACCTAAGCCAGATGACCTCAGGCAAGCCAGTTACTAATTGCCGATCGTTTCTGACCCTTAATTTTCTCCTCTGTTAAATAAGAATCTACCTATACTTTCACAGAAGTTCCTTTTAATTCTAAATATTGGTTTCAATGAAATAATGAGGTTTCTTACTTAATGTAAGTAAGGTAGGACTACTTCTAACCCTAACTATACAAAAGCAAAAAAAAAATTTCAGCTTTGTCTGCACTTGGAAATTCTCAAGTGACAATACATGATGACCAAAAAGGATCAGATTTAAACTCCCAAATGCAAAACTATACTCATTTTCCAGGCATTTATTTATTAACCAAGGTGACTAATTCAATGCATCATAGTATCAAACTACTCTTTGCTAACTTTACTGTGTTCAAAAGTAGGGCAAAGATCATCGCAGAAAAGTATGTGATAATATTTTCAGATAATGATGCAAAGCAACAGTATTCTGCACTGACATAGCTCCAGTTCTAACAGTAAAGTGATATTATATTTTCACTTATGTAATAATTTCATGTTTACGATCTCATTTAATCTTTGTGACAGCCATATGAAAGAAAGTGAGCAGAATTTTTATCAACACAATCTAGACCAGCTCAGAATGTTAGGCAACCTGTCAGCCATTACTTAACAAGTATTAGAGCCCAGGCTTCAATACATCTTCTGATTTAAAGTTTAATAATCACCAAAATCCTAAAAAATGGTGATTCAAGCCAAAAGTGAGAAGTTGAAGTGAGCAAAACTGGATAATCAGTCCTTCAATTGAACATAAGGAATATAAGATCAGATTTGGCAGTTATATAATCAAGAAGCAAATTTGCCGAATGTTAAGCAAATTTACCGAACATTAAACTAATGATACATCTAACTATTATAACTCCATATCTCAAATCTTGTCACCTTGTTTGAAAGTCAAGTGTGAACAAATTTTCAAACTCAAAATAAGAACAACCTGTAAACTGACAAACTGATTAAACTAGCTATCGGTAAATTGCTAAAAGACATCAAAACAAGGCCAGGCGAAGTGGCTCACGCCTATAAACCCAGCACTTTGGGAGGCTGAGGCGGGTAGATCACGATGTCAAGAGATCAAGACCATCCTGGTCAACAAGGTGAAACCCCGTCTCTACTAAAAATACAAAAATTAGCTGGGCATGGTGGTGCGCGCCTGTAGTCCCAGCTACTCAGGAGGCTGAGGCAGAGAATTGCTTGAACCCAGAAGGCGGAGGTTGCGGTGAGCCGAGACCGTGCCATTGCACTCCAGTCTGGGTAACAAGAGCAAAACTCCGTCTCAAAAAAAAGGACATCAAAACAAGGCTCTATGTATATTTTCTTCTGGAAGGTGACTGACAGAAATTAAACTGTATTAATCAATTGTAATCAAGTAGGACATATCCCTCAAAGGAAAAAATAACCTTAAGTGCTTTAAGATAATGTAGGCAAAGTAGTAAAATATAAAATTTCTACTTGAGAGAGTCACTTCATACCTATACAAATCAGTCACATTTGCTAAGTACCACCATCTCTCTTCACAGTAAAAACATGCTACAATGCATACAATGATGCCTAGTAAGTACGTTTCTTCCTTTCATCATCTATGCTAAGAACACACAACTAAAATCAGAGCTAATGACAATATAATTAATAGGTAGTAGCAACTGGAATATTCAATTCTCTATCATGACAACACTAGAAACACTTGTACAAGCTTCTCCAAATTATCAATGCAATCTGTCCACAAAATCTCTGACAAGCCCCAAAGGAGAAATGAAAGACGTTAAAATTAGGATAAGGAGCCATGCTGCCAAAACACATCAACCGTGGCCACTCTACGTGTATTACTAGATTTTTGCATGGAGTTGCAGGTAAATAAAAGATGGTTGTGTAAAATCTTCTGGAGGTCATAAGTAATCTAGCAGTGTGACGACACAGGGCCACATATGGTTTCTGGAATTTTAGAGATTAAGTCGACCTTTACGTTTTACTGCAATACCAACACTGTAATAAAATACAGGGGTCGGGGGTCAGGGATTTGGAAAGACAGACAACTCTTTTTTCATGAAAGCAGTGCAAGATCTGAGAAGTTCCTCTCCAAAGGTTCTGCGGAGCGAAGGCCCATTCCCTTGGCTACCCTGTACCACCAGCGCTTTAGATGGCATTTGCAAGCCTGGATTTCGTTTAGGGGCGAATACATCTAACATCATGCGCTAGAGTTTCGGGAGAGCAAAAACCAAACTGACAGATCCTGAGAAACAGCTCAGTCATCAGCAGGGAAGACCTTCTCCACTTACTACAAGGTCCCGGACATCCCGGGACTAGGAGGTTCTCCAAAGAAGCCTAGTAAGGCTTTCAAGTCGGCAGAGAGGAGAACGAACAGTCGAGAGTCCGGTGTCTGGGTTCGAAGTCCGGGTGACCAACCATGAGGTGTCCCAAATAACCTGGCTACCACCAGGGTGAGACATCCAGAGTCAGCAGCGTCCTATAACACTGCTGGAAGTCGGAATCACAGTGCCCCAGATCCGTAATTCCTAAGCAGGAGAGCTCCGGAAGAAGCCAAGCCCTGAGGACAGCCACAAGCTTCGGTCCCCATTTCCCCGAGTTAGTTTACCTACCCACTCCGACCCCGGCTTCTCCGGATCCTGGAAGCGGCTCCTGGACTGACTCTCACACCCGTCGCTGGGATCCGGCCAACCGGAAGCCGGTTACACCACTTCCTGTCCTGTCCCCCGCTTTGCCCCCGGAGACCGCCTCCAGAAGAGAAAAGTTCCTCCCTCCTTTTGGCGAGCTCGGTTAATCCTCGCGGGATTTCAGTTCGGCTCTTAGTGCGGCCCTGTGGGTGTGGCAAGAGGAAGAATGACTGCTCGCTTTGTGATTCTTGTTCCGGAACTTGTTACCCAGGAACCCCGGAAGAGGTAGCTCGGGCGATAGAAACGTGTTCGCTGCCCAGAAGAAGGGAAGGCGCGAGTGAGGAAAGGAGGTACTGTAGGTAGGTCGGCTCCTTACAGGGCGAAGGAAACCAGTATCATCCATTCTCTCTACAGTTGGAACGTTTCTTTTCACCTCATTTTATTACCCACCTTCTTCATTTTCTCCTTTATAAACTGCCTTCCCCCCAGGGGCCGCTGAGCCCCTCTGTCCCTGTTCTGCGAACCGTCCTATGGAAGAAAGGAGCAGGCTGCTGGGGAGGGAAGGACTCAGAATTTATAGTTCCCAGCAGAGCCTACATGCAGGCAATAGCGATGCGCTCTCTCCGAAATTAATGACATAGCGAGCAGGCCTCACACTCTCAGCTGGGCACTTAGGAATTCCCCCAACGTTTCAAGCTGTCGAGCTCTGCGTGGAAAGAAAAGGTTTCTAAGAATATAATCGAAAATTTGGGTCTGGGCGCAGAGGCTCACGCCTGTAATTCCAGCACTTTGGGAAGCGGATGTGGGCGGATCACCTGAGGTCAGGGGTTCGAGACCAGCCTGTCCAACATGGCGAAAACCCATCTCTACTAACAATACAAAAATTAGCCGGGCGTGGTGGCGCGTGCCTGTAATCGCAGCTACTCGGGAGGCTGAGGCAGGAGAATCACTTGAATTCTGGAGGCGGAGGTTGCGGTGAGCCGAGATGGGGCCACTGCACTCCAGCCTAGAGGACAGAGTGAAACTTCATCTCAGCGAAAAAAAAAAAAAGAAAAGAAAATTTTGGTCCCTTTATCACACAAAGAGATTGCCTAGAGAGGTACTTAATCCTTACTAACATATCCCAAGCACTGTACTAGATTCTGGGAATATGCTATGCAGGGCAAGTGAGGCAGTGGCTTAAGGGTCAGAGAAGATTTGGGAATTTTTTTTTTAAGGTTGGAAACTGCATACCGGGTGCAGTGGCTTATGCCTGTAATCCCAGCACTTTGGGAGGCCGAGACAGGATTACTTGAGCCCAGAAGTTTGAGACCAGTGTGGGCCACATAGTGAGACCCCTGTCTCTTAAAAGAAGGAAGGAAAGAAATAGGATTAACAGGTGGAGTAATGGGATCAAGAGAACTACTGAGATGAGTTTACTCAGGCAGGGGAATTAGAAGGCACCAAGAGGAAGATTTTATAGGATGTACTTACTTTGTTGTGCTGTCATTGCCCAGAATTATTTATGAGACAAAGAATGGTTGTTTTACCTTAGCCTCAAGCACTGGGCTTATTGATACGCTTATAGTAAGTGTACAGAAAAGAGACAGATGTTCTTTTAGAGGAATTAGATGATAAATCTGATCAGGTTAATATGAGATTAGAACATCCTAAAGAACAAAAATAGGTGTTAATTTTAGCATTTTTTTTTTTTTTGAGATGGCTTTTGCTCTGTTGCTCAGGCTAGAGTGCAGTGGCATAAAATCTCGGCTCACTGCAACCTCCACCTTCCCAGTCAGGCTGTTCTCCTGCCTCATCCTCCCAAGTAGCTGGGATTACAGGTGCTCACCACTGCACCTGGCTAATTTTTATATTTTTAGTAGAGACGGGCTGTCACCATTTTGGCCAGGCTGGTCTCGAACTCCTGACCTCATGATCCACCTGCCTCAGCCTCCCAAAGTGCTAGGAAAACAGGCGCCTGGCCAGTTTTAGCATTATTATGATTAGACACTCCATTGAGATATGGGACATAAGCATTAAATAAACTTGGTAATTTTTGGAACTTTTGATGTTCTCTGTTTTTGATCTTACTGGTGTATGTTTTTTTGTTTTTTTGGAGACAGGGTCTTTCCTCATTGCCCAGCCTGGAGTGCAGTGGCACAATCATGACTCACTGCAACCTCCACCTCCCAGCCGGAGGTGTCCTCCCACCTCAGCCCCTTGAGTAGCTGGGAGTATGGTCATGTGCCAACACATCTGGCTAATTATTTGAATTTTTTTACAGAGACAAAGTCTCACTGTGTTGCCCAGTTTGGTCTCAAACTGGGCTCCAGAGATGCTGTTGCCTCTACCTCAAGCAACTCTTTGAGGTGAGGAGTTCCAGACCAGTCTGGACAACATAGCAAGACCAAGTCCATAAAAAAAAATTTAAAAAACAATTAGCAGGGCGTTGTGGTATGTGTCTGTAGTCCCAGCTACTTGGAAGGCTGAGGTGGGAGAACGGCTTGAGCCCAGGAGTTTGATGCTGTAGAGAGCTATGATGAGGCCATTGCACTCTAGCCTGGGTGACAGAGGGAGACCCCTTCTCTTCATTTTTTTATTATTTTTTTAAGAGATGGGGTTTCACCATATTGGCCAGGCTGGTCTTGAACTCCTGACCTCGTGATCCACCCACCTCAGCCTCCCAAAGTGCTGGGATCGGACGTGAGCCACCGCACCCGGCTGACCCCTTCTCTTTAAAAAGAAAAAAGGCAGCTTCTCTGTTTGAGCCTCATGTTTCTCATCTTTAAAATTTGGCTGATATATCTTCCTTTTTATTCATAGCAACAATAAATGAGGTAATGGATAATATAAAGGATTTAGTATGTTATCCAGCACATAATACCTTCTCTATGTAGAACAGTTCCTTCTCCAGATAGTACCTGAATCTACTATATGGGATATTTGGTTACTTTGCAACCTCGAGATTATTTCAGAGAATCCTAATTGTTAATATAGAGAGGTTAATATCCCTTTTTAGAAATAATTGAATATTTGTTCAGTTTGGAGTCTGGTTGTTAGATTATCAAAGAAAAGTCCTGCTAATATGTAAGCATTAAATAGAAACTTGGCCAGGCGTGGTGGCTCATGCCTGTAAATCCCAGCACTTTGGGAGGCTGAGGAGGGTGGATCACTTGAAGTCAGTTGTTCGAGACCAGCCTGGCCAACATTGTGAAAACCCGTCTTTACTAAAAATACAGAAATTAGCTGTGTGTAATGGCGTGTGCATGTAATCTCAGCTATTTGGGAAGCTGAAGCAGGAGAATCACTTGAACCTGGAGACAGAGATTGCAGTGAGCTGAGATGGCACCACTGCACCTCCAGCCTGGGTGATAGAGTGAGATGCCATCTCGAAAAAAAAAGAAACAAAGGAAAATGGCTGGGTGCAGTGGCTGGCTCACGCCTGTAACCCCAGCACTTTGGGAGGCCGAGGTGGGTGGATCACAAGGTCAGGAGATCGAGACCATCCTGGCTAACACAATGAAACCCTGTCTCCACTAAAAAAAAATTAGACGGGTGTGGTAGTCCCACCTGTAGTTCCAGCTACTCGGGAGGCTGAGGCTGGAGAATTGCTTGAACCCAGGAGGCGAAGGTTGCAGTGAGCCAAGATAACGCCACTGCACTCCAGCCTGGGCAAAAAAAGAAGTAGCAGGGCATGATGGCATGGACCTGTAATGCCAGCTACTTGGGAGGCTGAGGCAGGGGAATTGCTTGAACCAGGGAGGTAGAGGTTGCAGCGAGATCACGCCACTGCACGCCAGCTTGGGTGATGGAGTGAGACTGTCTCAAAAAACAAAAACAAAGACGGAGTGATAGATGTGCTATGAGATAATGTGGGTTTTCAAAACTTTTTCTATTAGGAACTCTCTCTCTTTGTTGCTTTGTCTTTTTTGGGGTTTGGGGTTTGGGGTCTGTAAAGGCACCAGAACCATAAAGTACTATGTCTGTGCAGCCCTGTCACCGTATTTAGGCACTTGAGCAGGAGAGTACTGAAACTAGGTGCTCTACAGCTTACCCTATGTGACCCGCATACTTCTGGCCACTCCATGTCAGTCTCCTTTGATTCCTAATGTTCATTTCCTCAGGATTATGTTTTAGTTCTTTATTCTACATACTTGTCCAAGTAGCCTCATACTCTTTCATCTCTTCAATAACTTTATATGGTAAGGTCTCTCAAATCTGTATTTCCAGCCCAGATGTTTCTGACTTTAAACTGATATGTCCTAGGCCATTCTCTCCTTTAAGCTGATATATCCTTTTTTTCCCTCCTTCTTTCTAGGTATCTCTGAGATGTCTTTTGTTCAAAACAAAACTAATTCATTATCTTTTCCATTCAAACCTGGTATTTCACCAAAATTCTCTATTTGTTCAAATCTAAGTATCATTAACTTCTCCCTTTCTTTTATCACCAGACTTCCCATCAGTCACTAAATCTGACAGCTATGCCTTAGCCACTGTTTTTCTTTCCCATTCTCACTCCTGTTGTCTAAATGATCATCATCTCATCTGGACTGTTGGGAGAGGCATAATATAGTAATGTGAAGAACAAGGGTGGCTGGGTGTGGTGACTCACGCTTGTAACCCCAGAACTTTGGGAGGCCGAGGTGGGTGGATCACAAGGTCAGGAGATCGAGACCATCCTGGCTAACACAATGAAACCCTGTCTCCACTAAAAAAAAAAAAATTAGACGGGTGTGGTAGCATGTGCCTGTAGTCCCAGCTACTCGGGAGGCTGAGGCTGGAGAATTGCTTGAACCCAGGAGGTGAAGGTTGCAGTGAGCCAAGATAACGCCACTGCACTCCAGCCTGGGCAACAAAGCGAGGCTACATCTCCAAATAAAAAAAAAAAGAACAAAGGCTTGGCAGGGTGTGGTGGCTTGGCTCATGCCTGTAATTCCAGCACTTTGGGAGGCTGAGGCAGGTGGATCCCTGAGGTCAGGAGTTTGAGACCAGCCTGGCCAACATGGTGAAAGGCCATCTCTACTAAAAATATAGAAAATTAGGCAGGCATGGTGGCAGGTGCCTATAATCTCGGCTGCTTGGGAGGTGGAGGCAGGAGAATGACTTGAACCTGTGAGGCGGAGGTTCCTGTGATGGAGCCATTGCACATAGCGTAGGCAGTAAGATCAAGACTCCATCTCAAAAAAAAAAGGGTGGGGGGTGGCGCTTTGGATTGAGATGGCCGCTTGTGAGCTGGGTGAATTTAGACAAGTTATAACTTGTGTACCTCCATTTTCCATATCTGAAAAATGGGGGTCATAATTATGTACAGATGCTTCTCAATTTAGGGTGGGGTTATATCCTGATAAACCCATCACAAATTGAAAATACTGTAAATTGAGAGCCAGGCACAGTGGTTCATGCCTGTAATTCCAGCTACCTGGGAGGCTGAGGTGACCAAAGTTCAAGACCATCCTGCAACATAATGAAACTCTTGTCTCAAAAAAATTTTTTTAATAAGCTGGGTATGGTGGTGTGTGCTTACAATTCCAGCTACTGGGGAAGTTGAGGTGGAAAGATTGCTTCAGCTCAGGAGTTTGAGGCTGCAGTGAGCTATGATCACACCACTGTACTCCAGCCTGTGCAAGAGTGAAACCCTTTCTTAGAAAAAGAAATAACAAAAGTTGGAAATTAATTTAATACATGTACCCTACCAAACATCGTAGCTTAGCCTAGCCTACCTTAAACATGCTCAGAACAATTTATTAGTGTCCATTAGGGCAAAATCATCTAATATAAGGCCTACAAGTGTTGAATATCTCATGTAATTCATTGAATACTGTACTGAAGGTGAAAAACAATGTTTGTGTGGGACTTAAAGTTTCTACTGAATGTGTATTGCTTTTGAACCATTATAAAGCCAAAAAACTTAAGTGAACCTACAGTAAGTCCATGACCAACTTTATTAACCTTGAAGTGCTGTTGGGAGCATTAAAAAAGACAATTCCTGTAGTGTTTACTAAGCGTATAGCAAAACTTCATAACTGTTAATTGTTATTAATTATAGCAGCCTCTGAAATGATCTCCCTGTATCTACTGCCAACATCCAGTTCATTCTTTACCTTGAAGGCCCAAGTATATTTTAGACCAGGGATCCCTGTGGCCTGTTAGGAACTGTGCTACATAGCAGGAGGTGAGCCGGGGACAAGTGAGTGAAGTTTGATCTGTATTTACAGCCGCTTCCCATTGCTCAAATTGCCTCCTGAGCGCCATCTCCTGTCAGATTAGCAGCAGCATTAGATTCTCATAGGAGTGTGAACCCTATTGTGAACTGCCTATGCAAGGGATCTAAGTTGTGCACTTATGAGAATCTAATGTTCTGTCACTGACGATCTGTCACTGCCTCCCGTCTCACCCCCAATGAGACTGTCGAACACCTTTTTATTACATTTACTACTCATCTATGAACAGCTGACAGTGGCCTGTATTCATCACTGTATCAGCTTAACAAGGTGCATGGCTGGCATATAGCATTTGTTTTATTGAACCTAACTTCTCTTGGTCTGAATTTCTTCATTTTTGATGTGGCAGTAATCCTCGCTTCTCAGTGTTATGTGGATCAGATAACACAATACATGTCAAAGTATTGTGGAAACTTTGAGCTATAGAAACACAGTTTTAAAACAATGAAAGAAATTCAAAATTAGAATTGGACCATTTCAAAACCATTGCCAAAGTATAAGCTTCATTAGAGAAAAGACTTTCTGCTTTATGCACTCCTGTATCACCTGGACCCTAGAACAGATTCAGTCAGTATTTGTGGAAGGGAAGCAGTATATCATAAAAGAACTTAGAAAGTAGAAAGTAGTCACAATTATATTTCAGATGCCTATTCTTACGGCTATGCTCTGGGCTTTGTTTCTCTTTATAATTGTTCATCTCCAAAATCAAAACCCCATGAACCTCTCTAAGTCTTAACAGCTTACTTTCATCACACCTGTTCTTCAACAGCATGTCTAGGTAAATAGCATCCATCACTTCGTTGTCCATAAATCAGTCTTTGATAATACAGGTTGCTTTTTCCTCAGGTAGGCCAAAAGAGAAAAAAATAATAAAACAGGTTGCATGGTCTGGCATGTCAAACATTCTCGCCCTCATCCTAAATTTCCTTGTACCATTGTGTCTTGGTGCTTGAGCCTGGCAAAATTTAAACCCGGGTACATCCAACTACCCATTCTAGTAGGAGGGGAAGGTGAAGGATGAGTGTGGATGGAGGTTAGTTTGTATGTTTGGAGGAAGCGATTAGTAGTTTTAGCCTTTTTTAGCTCCTAACTAGTACTGGAGAAAATCACAAATAGTATATTGCGATTAAAAAGTCATCATTAATCTTTTTCCTTTTTTAATTTAATTTTATTTTTTATTAAGTTATCATTAATCTTAATCATGCTTTCAACATTCCTCTGCCGTCCTACCATATTTTGCCACACCTTTTATTTCAGCCTTTCTCTTCATTTTAACTTCTGTCTGAGCTCCTTCCCTCGAGGGAATGCCTTCCTGCCTTCAAATCCAGGGACCTACCTGATTTAAAACTCAAGGAAGGGTGCCCCTTTCCAAGACCAAATTCCTTTGTAAAGGCCGTCTCTATCTTGAGCATTTACCTACCTTTCCTCTGGCTCCATCCCATTAACATTTAAATATGCTCTTCCTTTCTTTTTAGGAGGAAAAAACCCTACTTTTCTCTGTGTTGCCTTGTATCCATTTCTTTTTCTTTTTGCTCTATCTCTTGACCCCACCTCAAACTAATTTCTACCCCCTCAAAGACAAAACCCCTTTTATGTTAAAATTAGTGGAAAGAATGTTAATATAATGTCCTAACTTTAACATAAAGAAGAATAAAAAGGAGATTCGTAAGTACTTCCATGGCTGTCATCTGTGCTGTGCCAATCATGCACTGCATGATTCCAAGGGCACCACTTTACATTACAAATATAGTGCATTGCAAATATAGTGGCCCCATGTTTAGAAATGCTTAGATAATACTCCACTCAAAAAAGAAACTGATGGTTGCTTGCAGCTTTACATAGAAGCACTGTGAATCCGCAGCCTCATTTGTAGACTGATACAGGTATTCGTGATGCAAATATTATGAACAGCTTTGCCGAAGTAGGAGGATTTTCTAAAATAATAAAGGATGACATTCCTTTGTTTTATGATAGTTACACTTCCAGAAAATTCAGTATGGACAGTTTCCGACTTAGGATTTTTCAACTTTACAATGGTATGAAAGCGATACCCATTCAGTAGAAACTGTACTTGGAGTTTTGCATTTTGGTCTTTTTCTGGCCTAGTGATAACGTGGTACAGTACACTTTTGTGATGCTGGGCAGCAGCAGTGAGCCACAGCTCGCAGTCACCCATGTGATCACGAGGGTAAACAACCCATCCTCTACATTATACTTTGTTGCCAGCTTTTTTGGATATTGTGTTTTGTGTTTTCACATTCCATCATGTCTACAAAATGTCCATCAGTGTCTTCTGTTCCTGGTGAAGAAGAGGAAGGCAATTACTCTTGAAATGAAACTCAAGATAATTGCCCAGCAAGAAGGCGACAAGCCAGTAATGGCTATTGCATGTGAGTTAGGACTTTTGCAATCCACAATTTCAACCATCTTAAAGGATAAGAAACGAATCAGTGATGCAGCGAAATCATCAGCATCAATTAAGTCACTGTCATCACAAAGAAAAGAGCTGGGCTGATTGATGATATGGAAAAATTACTTGTTATATGGATGGAAGACCAGCTATAGAAGCATATACCACTTAGCGTACTGTTGATCCAGGCTAAGGCAAGAAGTCTTTTTAATATGCTAAAAGACCATGCCAGTGATCCTACATATACACAAATGTTTAAAGCAAGTCATGGATGGTTCCAGCGCTTCAAAAGGCGTCATAATTTTCACAATGTGAAGGTCGGTGGTGAGGCAGCACATTAAGAAACAGCTACATAGAATAATTGTGGCTGAAGATCTTTGCAATTAGGAGCTTATTGAACTGGAGGAAGAAAGAAGTAAAGGAATTAAGGCAGTGGAAAATGAAACCCACGGCACCTAGAAAGTTCACAGCAAAGAAACTGGCAGAGGCATTTGCTGCTATCAACAGTGGCCTGCAGATGTTAGAAGAAATGGATGTCAATTATGAGAGATTTGCTACAGCTGACAGGCAGATATAGGATGCTCTTGCTTGCTACAGAGAGATATATAATGAAAAGAAGAAACAAGCTGTACAGTTACAACTTGGTATCTTCCTGAAGAACAACACTGTGCTTGCTAAACCATCAACTAATGTTGATGTCCCAGTGCCTTCTACCACCTATTCTCGATGTTCATCAGAAGAGAGAGAAATTGAGGACCGTATTGCTACAGCATCCCCATCATCCAGCAATTCTATTTCAGTGCTTCAAATATTTTTCAGGACCACTGTGCTTTCAAGCTGTGTACAATAATGGTGAGTACCCAAACATTGTTTTCTGCTTTCAGTACAGTATTCAACAAATTACAGGAGCTACTTAACACTTTATTATAAAATAGCCTGTGTTAGATGATTTTCGTCTAGCTGTGGGCTGACATAAGTGTTCTGAGCACATTTAAGGTAGGCTAGGCTAAGTCATGTTCTATATGTCTATTAAATACATTGTTGGCTTACGATATATTCAGTTAATTGGGTTACTTGGGATGTAATCCCATGGTAAATTGAGGGGCACGTGTACATAGTAAAACTATGCAAAAAATATTTCGTGTTCTTATGTAAAATGATGTTGGGGAGTTTTCATCTCAGATATTAAGTTCTTGAGCTGCACTAATGTCCAATGGGACAACTCTTCATTTTGTAAGATTTTTAGCATCCTTGCTCAGGCTTAGTAAATGTCAGTAGCACACCTCACTCCAGGCCTGTTAATGTGACAGTGATGAGGGTAACTTCTTTGAAACCATCTCCATCGAGAACCACTGCATTGTGAAAACACCGATTAGCACTGTTTTCCAGGAAAGGGGTGAGTTACTTTTGGTTTCTTTAAATCTTTTAGGCATCTTGCTAAAACGGAACATTTCCATAAGACTAAGGGAAGACTAAGGAATAGTTTTTGAACTTGATGCAACTTTTATATCTAGATGTGAAATGATCTAAACTGCTTCATGTGGTTGCTTGAATTTTTTCTAGTACACTGGTGGTGGGGCAAGGGGTGTTGGAAAGAGGGTGCAGGCATAAGATCCAAGATATGTTTTGCCTTTTTTCTGGATGACCTCATTGGGTTAAGTGTATAGTCAAAATGTTTCTCTGATAAGCCTAAGTTGTTACTGCTGGATAGTGATAACTGCTTTCCTTTCCCTTAAGATGCCCTTCAAATCCTTGGTTATGGAATATTTGGCTCATCCCAGTGCACTCAGCTTGGCTGTTGGAGTTGCTTGTGGCATATGCCTGGGCTGGAGCCTCCGAGTACGCTTTGGGATGTTCCCCAAAAGCAGGATGAGCAAGATACACACAGAGACTGAAACTGAAGCAAGCATCTTGGGAGAAAGTGGGGAGTACAAGATGATTCTTGTGGTTCGAAATGACTTAAAGATGGGAAAAGGGAAAGTGGCTGCCCAATGCTCTCATGCTGCTGTTTCAGCCTACAAGCAGATTCAAAGAAGAAATCCTGAAGTGCTCAAACAGTGGGAATACTGTGGCCAGCCTAAGGTGGTGGTCAAAGCTCCTGATGAAGAAACCCTGATTGCATTATTGACCCATGCGAAAATGCTGGGATTGACTGTAAGTTTAATCCAAGATGCTGGACGTACTCAAATTGCACCAGGCTCTCAAACTGTCCTAGGAATTGGGCCAGGACCAGCAGACCTAATTGACAAAGTCACTGGTCACCTAAAACTTTACTAGGTGGACTTTGATATGATGACAGCCCCTCCATCACAAGTGATTGAAGCCTGTCAAATTCTGACAAAAGCTGAATTTCTTCTCCCAACTTAAAAATGTTCTTGAGATGAAAATAAAACCTATTCCCATGTTCTGTGCTTGGCAGTTAGAGTTGTCATCTTGAGCTTAAAAACAGTACTGTTGGTTAAGTGGTCTTGGTGGTTCAAGTGACAGGCTGAAACAGATATTTAAGATTAGAGAAACAGGTCATGAAAAAAATTGGATTATAAGGGAGGAAAGCGAGGTAGCCCTTCCCCGAGACTTTGCTGCTGTCCCGCTAGAGGTCGAGGTTCAAGGGTATTCCCACTAGAGGCAAGCTGCAGTTTGTTCCCCTGCTGTTGCTTCTTGGATGATTGATAGCCTACTTTATTAATAGATCATGGCCACCCTCAATGAAGTCCAATAGTTTATAACCTGTTTGCATTTTTGTCTCAAGGTTGAGGTTTTATAGCATTGATATACTGTACAGCGTTTCATGTTCACCTTCCCTGACCCATACTGGCTAAAGGTTATCAGCAGTCATTCTAAATCACTGCCTATTGAAATTTCTCACTTCCCCTTTCTTGTAACAGTGAAGCCACTGATCCTTGTGGAATAATCTTTTGGACCTTGCAGATGGAAATGGGTGGGCCCAGGTAAGAATTTATAGCAACTGTAAAGTGAATGTAGTTTGTCATCCCTGCTAGTTTTTTTCCTAGAACTTAAAGAATCAGACAATTAAGGGTGCCTTTTTCCCCCTTAATCTTTAGATACAGTTGTACAATCCTAATTTCAATGTTATAACAGTTACTCAGAATATGAGGCAGAGGGTTCCAAGTTCCCAAGCCACATTGTCATCTTGTTAGAGACTGTTTGTCTTTTCATTAGAGATGGGGTTTCACCATGTTGGTCAGGCTGGTCTCGAACTTCTAACCTCCTGATCCGCCTGCCTCAGCCTCCCAAAGTGCTGGGATTACAGGCGTGAGCCACTGCTCCCAGCCTGAGACTGTTTTTGTTTAAAGCCTTCTTTTAGGAGGATACTGACAGTAGTTTCTAAAATCAGTATATCCCTGAGAACTGTAATGATGCCAGGGAGAATTTTGGTAATGGGCCCATTTTATAGTGGCTCCAACTCTCTGTCATTAACTACAATATAAGCAGCATTATAGCACAATCTCAAGGTCTCAGGTCATTAGTGGAATACTGTGGGCGGAACACTAAAGACAGTCTTGAAAGTTCTAATATTTGATCCATTTTATACACTTCACACAGGCATATGACAGCATAGAAGAAATTATAACTGTGAATGATGCCACAGTAGCAACTATTTCTAAACAAACAAAATATTTACTGGCTCCAAAAGTGATGCAACAAAATGCAATGGTTAGGACTGAGTTGAACCCAATGCTAATTGCATGATTCTGGCTCAGGTGATTTCTGAGGTTTGCCTCAGATAGACTGATGGCTCCAAATTCAGACAGTGGCATTCCCAACAGGATGGCATGGGGTGGCTGAGTAACTGATAAATCATGGCATATCTACTAAGAGGAATACTATGAAAATTCTGGTAATTGTGGATATGTGCTTATTTTCTAGTTCATCTGTACTTAGTATTTTGTAGGACTCATAATCTTATAGTTCTCAAAGTATACTCTGTAGAACCCATGGGGTCTCCACAGAGTCAAAAATGTTTTCATAATTCTATTATTTTCTTTTTCCCTGTGTTGATATTTGCACTAATGGTGCAAAAGCAGTGGTGGGGAAAACTGATGGCACCTCCCACAAATCAAAGCAGGGGTACCACTGTATTCTTCACCAACCTGCACTTTAACAGTTTCACTTAATGTCCTGAATGAAACTAAACAGAACAGGATGACACACTCTCATTCTGTCACCTAGACTGGAGTGTAGTGGTGTGATCTCGGTTTACTGCAACCTTTGCCTCCCAGCTTCAAGTGATTCTCCTGCCTCAGCCTCCCGAGTAGCTAGGATTACAGGCATGTGCCACCATGACCAGCTAATTTTGTATTTTCAGTAGAGACAGGGTTTCTCCATGTTGGTCAGGCTGGTCTTGAATTCCCGACCTTAGGTGATCCACCCGCCTTGGCTTTCCGAAGTGCTGGGATTATAGGTGTGAGCCACCGTGCCTGGTCACAGCTGGGTGTGCACCACCACACCTGTTTGATTTTTGTATTTTTAGTAGAGATGGGGTTTCACCATGTTAGGTCTCCCAAAGTGCTGGGATTACAGGCTGGGATTACCGCACCAGGTGGAACAGGGATTTTAAGTTTTTAAAAACTTATGTGGAGCTTATGATAGGTAATTTGCCTAAGAGAGTTGTAAAGCAATGCAAGACTTGGCAAGGGGCTATGTGTAACTATTGAGAATTAAGGGAGAGTGAAATGAACTTTAAGTACATTCTCAGTCATAAGCAAGAGCTGGATTCACACAATTTTTCAAAAGATCAACTTGGGCACCTTTATAATTCATTATGAGAAAAAGCATGTTAACTACATGTTTAAATATATTTTATTTCAAGTTAATATAACAGCCATGGTTTGTTCATTTAAGTGAAATGCTTAGATAAAAACCTCAAGTGTCACTTGGTTAAAATACTGGAGATAGATTAAATGTAACCCACTATAGTAGTGACTGGTTCTTTAGACTATTGCATATACCTTATTAATGAACTACAGGAATGCACATTGATAGAATTCACAATGTCTTCTCATTCCTCTTCCTTTCATGCTTCCCTGTAATGCCTTAGTATCCAATCTAAAACTATAAAAACTACTATTCTTTTGGTTTGAGTGGTAATTAAAACTTCAATTCTATGTTATTTCCACAGTCCAGTAATTTATTTTAAATTTGAGTAATTTCAAATTCCACAAACAAAACTGAAGAACAGCAATATTTTGTTTGAATTTCTCTCTTCTGTACACTCAGTGATCTAAAACACCACAATATCCAACATACAGAAACCTCAGGGAAGGGTTAGTAAACACACACAAGATTGGAATCATGGTGCTCTTTGCTCCTGAATGGAATGGTCCCACAGAAAAAGCACAGGATACAGCACAACATAAGGGCACCTGTTACATATGAAGTGAGCAAAACATACTAGCATTTTCTATATGCATAATGGGGAAACCTGCATAGGTTAGAGGGCCTTTTATGCTCATTTAAAAATCAGGCAAGTTGTCTGTAACATTTTTCAAATTATCTGGAGAGCACTGCAATCCAATGTAGGATATGCTGATTGATTAGTGTTGTCTTTGTTGGCACTGACAGTCTTGCCAGTATTTTTGCTTTAGCTTTTCTCTGAATAAAACAGATTTAAATGCATTTAGACAATACATATTTGTAAGCTGTTTACATACACTAAATTTAAGAGATTCAATATTAGAGTTTCTTTGTTTCTTTAAACACTACAGAGTGCAAATCGGGTTCTTCACAACAGACTGAATATTAAGCAGTTCTTTTAAAGAATGAGGGGGAAGAAAAAAACCCCAAGTGAATAAAACATTGAAACTATTCCCCTCCGAAAATAAATTCTAAAATGATGTGGAATGTGAAATAAGGTTTTAACATAGGTGATCCAAAGTTTATAGTTAGAAACAAAAAAGGAGTCCTTCATGAAATAAAGGTTACAAGAACACGTTGCCTGTTTCCCCCATTATAAACAGAAGTGGGTAGAGACGATGTTTCAGTACGAAAATAGGTGGCTACAGGATCAGCTTTTCATCTCACATGCTGTACCCGAAGCCAGGCTGTGGCTGTCCATACGGTGGTGCAGTATAACCATAACCAAAAGGTGCCTGGGGAGGGACGGCAACACTGGGTCCTGCTGTCAGCATCAACTGGGGCTGACCTAAAGTAGAAGAAAACAAACAGAGCAGAGGGCAGGGGCAAGGAGGCAGGACAAATTGTTAGCATTTAAAACACTGCAATCTCCTTCACTCTAGCAACATAATCTCAACCTCGAATTCAGATGAGTTGTATGGGGGTCACATTTGGCATTGTGACAAATTGTCACAATTTTGGCATGACAGGCTTACTCAAAGTTCCTACCTAAAAGGCCAATAAACAGCGCAGGGCCAAAGGCCAGAACTACTTATGCCTGAACACAACATGCCTGATGCTCTATGCTTGACACATACCTAACATGCACATTATATTTCATGACACAATAAAATCAGCACAAGAAAACTTAAGTTTATTAAATGAATTTTTTTTTCTTTTAAAGACAGAATCTTTCCCTCTTGCCCAGGATGGAGTGTAGTGGTGCAGTCTCAACTCACTGCAACCTCTGCCGCCTGGGTTCAAGCAATTCTCGTGCCTCAGCCTCTCAAGTAGCTGGGATTACAGGTATGCACCACTATGCCCAGCTAATTTTTGTATTTTTAATAGAAATGGGTTTTTTGCCACATTGGCCAGGCTGGTCTCAAACTCCTGGCCTAATTATCAGCCCACCTTGGCCTCCCAAAGTGCTAGGATTATAGGCATGAGCCACCATGCTTGGCTTATCTGACGTTTTTAACAAAACTGAACTTTTAGAGTTAGATTTCTGATTTTAACATGTCTAAATGGCAATGAAACAAATTATTTCTAGAAGTTTCAGTACTAATTTAGAGACAGCAATTAAAAATAAGACACATTCAGGATGGGCGCAGTGGCTCACACCTGTAATCCATCACTCTGGGAGGCCAAGGAGGGCGGACCAGCCTGGCCAATGTGGTGAAACCCTGTCTCTAACTAAAAAATACAAAAAAAAAAAAACCCCCATGACCAGGCATGGTGGCATGGGCCTGTAATCCCAGCTACTCAGGAGGCTGAAGCAGAAGAATCGCTTGAACCTGGGAGACGGAGGTTGCAGGAGCTGAGATTGCACCACTGCCCTCCAGCTTGGGTGACTCCAGGGGTAGGGGGGAGCACATTCAGATATTCTTTAGGTATGAAATACATTAGAACATACACCCTCTATCGAATAATATGTTGACACTCTTTCTTTCTTTCTTAAGAAGTTTAAATAGTTGTTGACCATATGCAGAAAACATGACCTGTAGAGGACCTGGCTTAGAGAGCAAAAAACAAGTAATATCTCTCTCTACCCCTACAAAGTAAGTATTCTTAACCTCCTACTACAGTGTAAAAACCTAGATCAAGATTTCTCCTAACACAAGGGACTTCACGTCTTTCCTTTTTGTGGATAACAACCAAAGCTGTCTGTAGCAAACAAATTATTTTTGGAAACCAGTTTTTAAAAAGTCGTCCCTAATCTTGATACTGACATCTACTTGAAATTCCAACCCAATTTTTAACTACCCATGAAAATACCCTGAAGGCAAGCCAAATTCAGCAGTTAACCCCCATGTATTACACCCACCATTTCTTGTTCCTACTGTGTTGCCTATCTCTTTCGCCTGTAAGGATTTGAATTGTTTCCTATCTTAAATAACATGTCAAACATCTTGCTCCCATCTCTAAGAACCCACTTTACTTTTATCAAAACTATCCTGTCCTCTAAATTCCTAAGGCACCTTTTGAGTACAGTAAAAAGGAGATAAAACCATAATAAATATCTATATTATTATTTGTGTCAGTAGCCTGAGATATAATGGTCATATTTTTATGTTCCCTCACGTGGTTATTGTGCTTCTGTCTATACTGTTCAAAGTGACTGTTCAAGAATCTGTTCACCAGCTCTATAATGGAAAGGGGCAGTAATTCAGACATACAGGTTTAAGACATGAAATTATCTTAAATGTTCACTTGAGAATCTGAAGATCCTATCTCTCTGGAAAGTTCTCAAGTGGAAATTCTACCCAGCTCTCTGGCCCAGTTAGAATTTAAAATGAGGATGTACTCTTTATGTAAAGCATACTAAAGACAACCTTGGGATCTTCTGTTACCTTTTGCTCTTTTGAAAATAGAATTCATCAATATTTCTTTTTCAGTGATTTATGAGCAGGTAACGAATGAGGGACCAGATGACAGGAAAGATTCATGTTACAATCTTAAATGACTGTTTTTTGAGTTTTCTTGTATTTAAGATTATTTTAGTAAATAACATCAACACACCTGCTTTACAACTGTTCTCAGAAAAAAATAAGACAGTAGAAAGGAGTTATTTCTTAGCAAGACTTTTGCACTTAAGCTTGTTGTATTCTATCTTGAGATACAGTCTCTAAAGAATTAAATACTTGTCTAATGAATTTTTGAGGTTACAGAGAGAGATTACCATAAACAATGGGTTGTGTCTCTGTAGCTTGTTCTTCTTCTTTTCTCAGTGATTCTGAAGCATCTAATTTATCCACCTGGAGAAAAACACATCATGTTAATTAGCACCCCAAAAGTATTATAAACCTAGGTTTATGGCAGAAAGTGGAAAAGCCTTAGTATGTTAAATTCTGTCAAAATAAAACAGACTAAAAAGAACATTCTCAGGCCCCCTCAAATTCAATGGCAATGTTCATACTTCAGTCAAGGTGGTTTTCAGCACTGTCATTATAAACCCTCAGGAAGGAGGGATTTATAAATGCCATAAAAGCTCACGCCAGACTAAAACTGGGCATGCTAGGATGCAGCCTGAGGGAGGGAGAAAATGAGAAGGAAACACTTTTCAAATGAAGTTTAAAACTGATCAGAGATAATAATGAACTCATGGTCTGGCAATACTTCCCTCCCCAAAGGAAATGGTATTCAAAAAAGTGAAATGAGCCTAGTGATTGGACAAGTACTTGTGCAGAATAAGCTATTTTTTTTTGCCAATTGTGTACAGCTTCTGCTGATACTGGTTATAGCTGAACCTGAAGTTTGATTCAAGTGGCTCCATATTCAATCTTTTTTTATAAAGAAAGGCTGCAAGTTTTAATACTATGTGGGCTCTGTTATCTAAGAAGTAATCAGGAAAGCCTGACTTTGTCCCAAAAAGGTTTGCTTTTAATTAAGCCAAATAAGTAAATGGCTATTATATGCTAGCTACCCTAAATCAAAGTGGATAGTGTCAGACAGAAGTAACTCTGTAGAGCAGTCCAAATGCATTAGTGAAAGAAGGAATTAGAATGCCTAGATCCTTCCACTAACTGTTGTGTGACCTTGGCAAACCATTGCACTGGCCCTCAAATTTCCTTCTCTATATAATGAGAAGGTTGAACAAAATGATCTGCAGTGTTTCTTCTAGGGCTTACATGACTTGATTCTGTAATTCCGTAATGACTTAGAAGTGACATTACAACCCTGGGATTAGGGAAATCTTCAATATTCAAATTCCATTGTCTTTTACACTATATTTGTCTTTGAATATTTAAAAGCCGGTCTCTCAACCAAAGCCTTATATTTGGTTTATCATTGTACCTAAGTAAAACTAAATTTCAAATCTCAATGTCATCTATTAGTGGTGTTTTTCAAGGTCATAAATGTGCTGAATGAGATGGGGGGAATGCTTTATGAATGTTCACTGCATATTCTTCAAAAAGGCAAATAGTGAAAAATCACTCAAAAAAAAGGTTGAGGACTTTAGTGGAAAAGTTTGTAAAAACCAGTTCCTAAAAAGATTAAGGCAATACCTTATTTCTATTCGAAACTGTTAAAAAAAGTATCTTTCAGTCTTCACGTAGGCCATAACAAGGCACTGTTTTATATTTAATTGTTTCATATTAAATATCATAAATACGAGTCTGATCCATCTTTGTTAAGGAACTGAAGGTTTGAGAAAAGTAAGCCTAAGTAGGCTATAGGCTCCTTCAGATGAAATGTGGTTTTTCTAGCCTAGGAAGATGGATTAATTTACTTTTGTACACTATTATCCTATTCTGTAGTCTAAATGATCTGTTACAAATTATCCTAATATTAAATTAAAGACTATTATGTAGTATAAGTACCATATGACATAAATACCCATTTTTTGGCATCCAAACTTACAACAAAAATTATTAGTTATAAAACTTAAAGCACAGCTCTGTGCCATCAAGGGTCAGATGGGGCTTTGCTAACTAACCAGTATTCAAGAATGAGCTACAGAAGTTATAAAGAAAAATACATGGATGCCTGTACATTAGTAACTTCAAAGGAAAAGAAGAAAAATAAAACAACCAAAAAGCCACCACTGTGTAATACATTTCCAGACTTTCAAGGAAAATAATCTGAAGTGAACATGTGTTTAAAAGTTAAGGTCTGAATCAGATGTTGAACACAGAAGTCCTATTAGAAAACACATGGAAGACTTAGAAGAGCTAGCGATATCACAGTGCCCCAGCATAGATGTAGAAAGTTTGGGGATGGGGGAAAATTCTAAAGGAATAGCATCAAGCTCAGCAATAAATTTTGATTCTTCTATATAATGGGACAGCCTCTGGCACCGGGACATTCAATTTTTGTTTCCACTGATCCAATTTAGATTGCTCAAAAAAAAAAAAAAAAAGCAGAGAAGGCTTTTAAGAACACAAGCTTTTGTTAAAAGCTGTAACAAAAGTTTCTGATCCTTGGATTTAAAAAGAAAAACTACAGGTAAGCATGTCAATGAATTCAGTTCCATCTGCACTACTGAAAATTCACTAAAATGTAAAAGGCTTTTCCACAAAGACTGCAATATGCTGCAGAGGAAAAGTAACATGCAGTCAGTTATTTTGGTGTATGTGTGCATGAAAAAAAGGCAAAAGTACTGAAGCAAGAAGTGAGATCTGAAGATGACTTGCTATACAGGCTCTCAAGAAACACACACAGCCCACAGCAATGCTATAAGAGTTTCAAAAATAGTATGATGTAATTGCAATGACTGTTGTACATGCTTCATTTAAAACAATGCATAACACTGCAGTTCAATTACCTGTTTTTCACACACACGCTTTCTAACTGCCTTGCTTACTAGCTGCTGAAGGGTCTCACACACAATGCATTTTACTCAGGTTTGCCCTAAGTTCCAGTGGTGACTCCAGTTTGGTTCAACATAATCCCAAGGCATTGTCCCCCACCCAAATCTTTTAAATTTGTTTCAATTCTCCTTTACCTTCCCACCCTTTTCTAACCATAATTTGATAACAGATATAAGAAGTTTGTTTCATTTATACTGGGATGGAGACAAGCCAATGAAGGAAGCAGCAACCAAAAGGTGCCTGAATTTGACCTCCTTGGGCAAGCCAACTGATAAACAGGAGAGCAAATTTTAGCTAGCTTCAGAAGTATGCCTTAATACAGAAAATAGAAGTTAATACTTTGTTAGAAATAATTCATGTTGCTTAGCAACAATTATAGCAAGCTTGACTCTCGTGATTAAAAAGGTTTTGATTCTTCTTAATGGACTAGCACCATAAGAACCGGACACCTGGAGAAACATGAGGAAAGTCTCTTCGGAAGCAGCTAGTATCTCTTGTGTCTACTTTCAGCAAAAAATTAGTAAGAATCAAGAGATCAGAAACTGGATCACAGTCCTTCAATACAAAAAAAAAAAAAAAATCCCCAAAAAGCCTTTTAGGGCATATATATACATATATAAATTCAACAACTGTCAGGCAAGCTCACAAAGTAAAACCAGAGGCTGTTTTAATTTACTTTAAGTATTATCATAGTCCTATTATGGTCCAGATACCCTGACAGGGAAGATAAATTTCCTGTTACTTTGGAATTAATATGGAAACTCACCATACTCAGTTTTTAATAATATATTTAAGAGAGACTGTGAACCAACTACTGATTAGCCTCCTGCCCTTCCTAAAGCCTATTAGCCGATTAGTAGCAAACATCTATTAATGTCCTACAGCTCTATTAAAGTTATGTTTCAAGGGACTTGCAGAGGCTTTAGTGAAAATTTATTGGGGGGAAAAAGCAGCAGCAGCAGTGTAGAAAAGGAAGGAAAAAAATCATGCAAATTCCTTAGACTTAGTCCTCCAGACTTAAAGATGGAAAAGAATCAACTTTCACCTTTTCCTTTATTGCATCAACCTGCAAAGGAATTCAGAAGGTGCAGCTTAGAAAAAAAATCAAATTCCATATTGAGCATAAAAAGGTAGAATCAGCAACAAAGGTTTAGGGAAGAAACATCTAACCACTAAAAAGGTATGAGAGAAGTGAAAATAAAGGGCATACTGGAAGCAAAATTTAGAATTGTAACTTCAAAGCTTACTGCAGAAAAATTTATGCTACAGTACGAAAGAAAGCAGCTTAATCGCTAGTAAAATTTACAGCACTTAGGTTAACAGCAGCTTAGAGACAGGTCTTACAAGTTGGCATTATGTTTAAGAAGCTATGCTCATCTATGGCTAAGATAAGGCAACATGTTTTTTCTTTTACGCTGGATACAGAAAATGTTAATTCTTTAAGAACTTTAAACAGACACAATGGTATCCTGAGGAAAAATTCAGTATAGTAGAGGTTGTTGGTATTGCTTTTTTCCCCTCTTAGGCAGGCTGAAGGGATCAGATGTGAGACTCTGATTTTAAGCATGTTTTTTGCTTGACGAAAAGGATCCTCTAAAACCATTTAAAAATGTTCTACAGAGAGAAAGCTAGTAAGTGCTGAAGATAGGGTGAGTAAAAAATATTCTAACATCAAAAAGGGACACTAAAATGAACAGTGAATTTTATAAAGACATTATACCCCCAGCTTGTTTAATGTGTTCACCTATTATATTTTTAAATCAGGGGTTAAACTATCAAAAAAAATTGTGAAGATTAACAGGACGTTAAGAATATACAAGCAGCTTCCCCAGGGGAAATAGGCATAGACATCATTAAAAGTCAAGAACCAACCAAATAAAAGGGAATCTAGAATACTAGTTATGAAATTTGAGTAAAAAACTGATTTTGAGAAAGATGCTATCCTGAAATAAAATGTATCAAATATTTCTTTTAAAAAAAACCCAAAATACCGATTTTCACCTTCATGAATACACTGTGGGTTAACAGCTACATTTGAGGTCCCTTTCCAATCAGTGTCTTTTGTCAGCTATTAAAAAAATTTTTCAAAAGAACAGGAATATTTTATGATTGACTAAATGACTGACTTCTAGAGAAAAAAACATTAAAAAAATTAACGTGCATGTAGAATTTTACATATCTGCAAGAAAACTAGTTCTGAATACACTTAGAAGAGTGATTACCTTTGTCAAGTATTCCTTCATGACCTGGATAAAATAGGGCATGGCAAAATCCATGATATTGTGCCTCCATGCAGTTTCTAGGACGACATCTGGCCTTAAAAGATCGTAACAGGTAAACAGGCAAGCTCCAAAGCACTCTCTTTTTTCTTCCTGCAAAAACCACTGCAGGAGTTCTTCAGCTAACTCGGTATCTTTAGATTCAGAAGCATACTGCATTGCATCCTATTCAAAGAAAATCGTGAAAGTCAAAAAACATTAGACCCAACATACTGAATTAGTAAACCAAGAAAAACAATAGAAACTTTCCAATATAAATCTGGTTTGCAAGGGGGGAAAAAAGCCTCCTAGTTATATCATTCAAATTAAAATTTCGAAAGAACAGATAAGCTAAAGGCCCTTTTTCCCCCAAACAAGTTTGGCCTTAACATAAGACAGCCCTTAAAAGTCAGTTCTCATATTCACAAAACCAATACTTTTATTTATAGAACATAATCTCTTGTAACACCCATTCTAGGCCCGGTTTAACAGCCCCAGCCCCACAACTTTATCAACCTTGTAAAGGCTGTCTTTCTTGCACAGTTCTACACTCTGTTTCCAGCGATTGTTGCCTTTGAAGAGGTAAGCAGCAATTCTCCTGAACTCAATGAGTTCATGTTTTTCCAAACGCTGAGCAAGCGAGATATTGTCAAAGTTGTCATAAGCATCTATTGATGTTCGCAGAGCCTTTAAAAAAAAAAGAAGCATCCAAATGCCAGATCAGTATTTTGTTCAACATTATATTCTGTCCTTGATCAAAGACCTCCTTAGATGGTAACATGTAATATGACACTTAGATTCAAGCATCAAAAGGTAAGTTTCTTAATTCTATGACAATAAAGTCCTCAAAGGTAAAGATTTCCTAAAGATACCATTTTCTCCAAGATTTTCAGTATCAAGGACTAACAATGGCTATGAAATTGACAAGATTTCTAATTTGGAGGGTAAGATTTTTTTTTGAGAAGGAGTCTCACTCTCAGGCTGGAGTGCAGTGGGGCGAGCTTGGCTCATTGCAATCTCCGCCTCGCAGGTTCAAGCAATTCTCCTGCCTCAGCCTCAGCCTCCGGAGTAGCTGGGACTACAGGCATGCACCACCATGCCTGGCTGATTTTTTTGTATTTTTAATAAAGACCAGGTTTCACTGTGGTAGTCAGGCTGGCTTGAACCCCTGACCTCGTGATCCACGTGCCTTGGCCTCCCAAAGTGCTGGGATTACAGGCATGGAGGGCAAGATTTTATGCTCTAGAGAAACTTCTGATAAAACCCAGCATGGCAGCAGTACAGATCTGCATGCGTTGAGCCTCAAAGAAAATTGAGAGAAAAAAGAGCAAGTAGCTTAACCTTAACTCTACTTGACTTTTGCTTATATGAAATCCTTCAAAAGAGAAAGTTTATACAAACACTAATAAAACATTAGGCAAGAAAAGCAGTGAATAAATGCAGTTAATACCAAGTAAGTTTTATGAATTAAGTGATCAAAGACATTTTTGACTCTACCTATAATCTAGATGTTAGAGATAAAGTAATCATTTTTCAAAAGCAGTATTTTGAGCAAATATTTGAGCAAAAGCAGTATTTTGAGCAAAATTGCTCAGAAAAGCAATTTCTGAGCAAAATTCTGAAAACTTGGTACTTAATTAGAAGAAGGAAGATTTATCAATACTGAAACCTTACTAAACTTAGATCCTAGGATATGCAAGCACCTACTGTTTACAATCCTAAATGATAATGGCTTTTTTAAAAAACGGGAAAACATAACTTTATGTGTCTTGAGAATACGTGCAAGAATCAAAGGTTTTACCTGATAATCTTCTTCTGTAATAAAAAGGTTGTTGAGTGATTCATTCACAGATTTGTTGTTATGGTTCTGAACTGAACGTAAATATGGTTTCACCAGTGGTAGCTGTTTAACCTTTAAAATAAAGAGTTACAAATACAGCACATTTTTGAAGTCCCAGGGACAAAAGTTATCCAAATATGTCCTAATTCCTTGCTATGAAACTTTGGTTTAAAATTACTACTTTACCTTGCTGAAATAATTGACTGCACGAGTGTGATCCAGCCGTGGAGACAGCACCATCAGCAAATCATTTAACAACAGAGGCTTGAATTCTAAGTAGAACTGTATTGCTCTGTAGTATAGTTCCACATTGGCAACCTACAATGGGAAAATTCATACATAAGTCAGTTACTTCCTAATGAGCTTTCTCCTTCTGAATCCTTTATCTTCTGAAGAAAGTACACACCTTGGTAATGATATCTTTGAATTGCCCTTCTTTCCAGGCATCAGTTGGATGATTCATCATGGTAATTATGGCATTATCATATTCTTCATACTTGTCATACAAAAACACCAGTTCTGCCCAAAGATGAGCTTGTTCTGCAGCTCTTAGCACCTGCATAATAAGCAAGTCTTTAGATATAAGTCTAGCTAACAGCGTTAAAAAGAAATATTTTTAAGTATTAGTTTTAACTACACAGTTGCTTTACTGTGTTATAATGACTGGTTACCTTGGGAATATTCACTCTAGACCAGAACAGCTCCAGGTGCTCTCTCATTTTCTGAGGCTTAAATTTAGAGTACAGAATGGCTAATTCGGTAAACATTCCCATGTGAGCTCGCTCAAGTCCCAGTGCTGCTTCCAGCATCGTAATCAGCTCTTCAAAATATCCACGATCCTGAACAAGAGAAATGGGCAGTTAAAGGCAAGAGTATCTGTGGTAAAAGATCTGAGTCATATAAATGTCTCTAGTTAATTACCTGATAGTAGTTGATAAGTTCTTCTAATTCATCTGCATGTACAACAATATGAAGTCCGCACATCTGAGCAAGACGGAATTCTTTCCCATCTACACAGGCGAAGCAGACCTAGAATAAACATTTCCTTTCTGTGAACTCAAATGTAAACATGGCTACTTACTTAAACTAATATTTAAAGAGCAGTTCTTTAATGCTTCCCTCAAACTTGGGTTTAGGTTACCTCTTTCCATGTTCGAGTACTGTTAGCTTTCCTAGCTCCATCAACAGCTGCCTGATATTCACCCAGGTGAACGAGGGTAGATGCCAAACGTCCAAAATTGGAAACATTATTGTACAACAGCTTAGCAGCATCATACATTTTTTCATCATAACAACGGTCACCAACCTGGGGAAATAAAAAGGTAATCCACATTCAATAAGACGTTAGTGTGAGCTTAATCCTCTTTACAAATTCACACCTTCACACTGAGAAATAATTTGTTTTCCTATAGATTTTTCCTTGGAATTCTTCAGTTATATTTTGATCCTATCAAGCTAATCAAGTAGGTCAACTATTTTTTCTTAAATCTGAAAAGGAAACCCACTTGTTGGATATGAGCGTTATTTGGTCCATTGATAAATTCTTCTAACTCTGCAAGGCGGTTTGTTTTAGCCAGCGCAAATATCAATTCTGTCTCCACGTAGGACTCTCGAGCCTTCTTACGGGCCATCTGCAGGTACTTCACCAGTTCTTCCCAGTTTCCTAAGTATAGAAAAAGAAAAAATATATCCAAACACTAACATCCTAGTTTATCTTTTCACCCAAGTAAATGAAAATGGCTATTAATTTCCTTTTCAAGGAAACATTATGGAGAATGACAAATGTAAACTGCAATATTTCACCTCTGTATTGTCACAGACCAAATGAATAAATGAATTCTCTTTTTCCTTAAAGTTATAAGATTAGAGCACTATCAGGATTTTATGAGACTTCAAAAACAGAAAATTCGTCTTCCCTACTTGTAAGTTTTATGAACTTACAAATTCACAAAACACAGCCTCTTTTTATCTGGACTAAGATGATGAAAACTACAAGTTTTCACAAAAAACCATGCAGTATCCAACTCTTCTACAATTTAGAATGGGTATCTTAACATTTAGCTTAATCATTTTATGAAGTCTCAGTACATAAGGTAAGAAGTCATACCACTAGTATTGGCAGCCTGAACAACTTCCATGTAGGAGGAAGGATCATCTGCTTTGATGTAAGAATCAATGGCTTCTTTCACCATTCCTTTCTGCAACTGGGCTTTTGCAAGTTGACTCCAGACCGCAGGTTCATTGCAACGTTCAGCAAACTCATATGCCCGATCCAAGTTTCCAATATGTTCAATTAAGACCTAAGTACCCAAGTTTGAAATTAGGGTCAGAGTAAAATCAATCTTACCCAGAGCAATTACACTGAAGCTGTTAGCATTTTATTGCTCTTCTATTGCCATAGCAACCAATTATGCCCACCCTCATAGGACAGTGCATATACTGAATGAATAGAAGGCATTACATTTAGTAATTTGATTTAGGTAATCTGAAGATTTACCTGAACTGCTGAAGTATTGACATCGAATTTCCGGAAAATGGCAAATGCTTCTTCAAACAGTTCATTACTGATGGCGATATTGGCAATATCTGGGGCATCATAATTATCCAAGCGATTAATATACTCCATAACACGTGTACGGTCAGCCTTAATTGCAGTGAGGATAAGGAGGTTTTGCAGATTCCTTTAAGAAAAAACGGAATATTTTAAATGCAATACTTTAAAAGTTTATCAGATATAAAAAATAACTACTGTGACTAATCGAGGGGTTTTTGTCTCAAGAGGTAGAGTGAGAGGAGGGGAGTATATTAGAAGAGGGAGAATTCGGGCAACTTTTTCTGATCTTTTTGTTCCTTCCCAAAACTGATGGACATAATTAAAGAATGATTATAAATAGCCAATGGATCCCTCTGAAAGCATACCTGTGTTCACTGAATACAGAGTTATCGAGGACAATTTTCTCCAGCAGTTCAATGAGTTCATTAGGAAGGTCTGCAGTCATGAAAGCCTTGACAGTTACTGACACTTCTTCAGGGTCTTGAGTCTCAGACAAAGCTGTTTGTACAACCTACAGAGCATATATGGGACATAAGTACTGAGAACCAGGTTGATTTTTAAATAAGAGTAAGTTGGCCCCTCATTAGAAAACTTGAAATAGGCAAAGAAAAGAATGAAGTAGGAAAAGACATTTAAATTTACACACAAAGGTCTTTCTACACAATCTATACAATATGTATAATTTTACTGTTGAAAAATGAATTATATAATTTCTATATTTTCCCTGATTAAAACTTTATCCAAATTAGCAATCATCATTATCACTTTAATGGCTACACATAATTCAAAATTCAACTACACCGATGTAGAATTATACTATCAGTAATTCTTCTGAATTTGGCTATTTGCATGGTTTTCTAGATGCTGCAATAATTTCTGCCCCCTTCCTCCCCACATCCCAAACCTTCCCCCAGGAAGCTTTGTAACTACTTGGGAATGTTCCTTAGAAATGCTTCCTAGGAAAGGAATGAAATATTAATAGCCTTCAACCTATTCTTTTCCAAAATGTTTTATTTATACTTAGGAGAAGATTAAGAATCATTATAACAACTCTCCAATTTTTAGAGCTTTTAAAATATGTTTTCAATTTTATTTAGCTATAAAACCACATCTCATTTGCAGTTCTATACTTATTAGTAAGATGTAACACTGACCCACATGGTTCTTTTGTATTTTCTCTTATCAATCCTTATCCTTTGCTGACTTATCTTTGTCTTGAAAGTTTCCAATCAATTTAGCCATTTCTTACATGTTAATAATAGCAATCCTTAATGTTTAGTTTATTTTCCTTTTAAACTATGATGAACTAAGAGTTTTACATAATTAAGTCAAGTCTTTTGGGATGTATTTTATTTTTCTTAATGTGTATAATATAAACACATTTATACTTACATAAATTCACATTTATTTGTATATAATGAATGTAAATTGAATCTATAAATTTTAATTTTCTTCTACATTTTATTGCTTTCTTTCATAAATATCCATTAGAGTACATGATGAGGGAAAGTTTATCAGACATTAAAAAAACCACATTAAAAAATCCATTTGAGCATATCATGAGGGAAAAGTTTATCAGACAGCAGTTTATCAGAAAGGATTGCATTCATAGTTTAAAATGTGTAATTTTTACTGATGGCCATAAACACATTTGCCAATGTTACCTGGTCAATTAGGGGTCTCCTGTAAGGATTGCTTTCCAGCAGCACGCTGCCCCACAATTCTGGATCCTTTCGACGTACCAGGTAGCGAGACAGACTTTTGAAGAGGGAATTCTCATTGCAAACCTAAAGAAGATATGACAGATCAATTTCAAGGTAAAAAGTAAAAGACTTTTTTAGCATTTTAAAGGTTATTTCCTATCCTTTAAACTCTGCTTATTATTGATATTGGATTGATTTTTGGACTTTGATTCATGTACTAGTAATGCACTGTTTTAATTATCGAGGCTTTGGGCCAGGCATGGTGGCTCATGCCTGTAATTCCAGCACTTTGGGAGGCTGAGGTGGGTGGATCATGAGGTCAAGAGATTGAGACCATCCCCACCAACATGGTGAAACCCCATCTCTACTGGAAATACAAAAATTAACTGGGTGTGGTGGCATGCACCTGTAATCCCAGCTACTTGGGAGGCTGAGGCAGTAGAATCACTTCAATCTGGGACTTGGAGGTTGCAGGGAGCCGAGATCGTGCTGCTGCATTCTAGCCTGGCAACAGAGTGAAACTCGGTCTCAAAAAAAAAAAATTATGGAGGCTTTGTAATATATACTTCAACATCTGGTAGGAGTAGGCCACCTTTACAGTTTTCAGTGTTTTCCTAGCTGTTCTGTTTATTTTTCCACGTGTATATGCACATTTGTGTACATAAGTGAGCATATATATGTACATAAATGTATCTATTTTCTAGAAGCAAACACACAAGCTCAGATCTTGATTTCTTCTATCTTCAAAAAAAATTTTTTTAAAGAGAGTCTTGCTCTGTTGTACAGGTTGGAGTGCAGTGTTGTGAACATAGCTCACTGCAAACTTGACCCCCTGGGCTCAAGTGATCCTCCCACCTCAGCCTTCTGGGTATAGCTGGGAACCAAGTGCATGGCACCTCCCCCAGCTAATTAGGTAATTTTTTGTAGAGATAGGGGCTTGCTATGTATGTTGCCCAGGCTGATTTCAAACTCGTAGGCTCAAGTGATCCTCCTGCCTCAGCCTCCAAAAGTGCTGGGATTATAGGAGTGAGCCACTCACCTGGCCCAGATCTCACATGCCCCAGTAAAAGGTGCCTTAGAGAAATGACTGATTTTGTACCTTCCAGGGCTGCAGAAGGTACAAAATAAGCTTGGTGTATTGTGTGCCAGAAAATAAATTAGTGCTCAAAGAACAATGAACTCATGATACAAAGACATACTGAAGAGGTTCTCACCAGCCCAAACTGGCACAATTTGAACATCAAAATAAATAACAATGAATTATAGACCACTGAATAAAATCCATTAGTTCATTAATGCATGAGTGCTAAATGACAAATGTGGAGAAACTGCTGGAGTTGGAAAAAGTTTCATTTTGCAAACAACACATTAAAAATGGTTTCCACAAGAATCGATAGATGCTATATTAAAGGAAGGGCTAAGAGGATATTTGCATGGTCTTAAGTGTCTACTCACAGCCTGTTTAATATCTGTAAGGGGGTAATAATTATACAATGAAGAAATATTACAACTTGATAAAACCTGACAAAGGGGACAAATGAACATCGTGTTTTTCCAGATAAAATACCCATGGGAAAAACAAACCACCACTGAAGCAGTATTCTGGGTGCAAACATAATCTAAATCTAATCATCAGGAACCCTCAGAGGAACTCAAAGTGATACACATTCTATTTTTTAAAGAGACTTTACGTTTAAATGAAATATAGAGAACAGGCAAATCTACAGAGACAAGAGTATAGTCTGGTGGTTGCCTGGGGCTGGGAGGAGGGGGTATGTGGAAAAACTGCTTAATGAATACAGGGTTTCCTTTTGAAGTGATAAAAACTGGGAACTAGATAAAGGTGATTCTATAACATTGTGAATGTACTGAATGCCACTGAATTGTTCACTTTAAAATGGTTAATTTGATGTCGCCTTAAATTTTACCTATATAAAACAGTTACAAGTAGAAAAAGCAACTATTGTTTACAAAGATCTCAGTGTCATAAAAAACAAAAGACTGAAGAACCATTCCAGAGTAACGGAGACTAAAGAAACATGAAAACTACATGCCATATATGACCTTAGACTAGAAGGGAAAAAACTGCTACAAAGGGCATCATTGGTTAATTGACAAAACTAGAATATAACAGATTTTTAAAGGTATCCTATCAATGTCAAACTGACTGAAGCTGGTATCTTTAATGTAGTTAATGAAAGAGAAAATCCTTATTCTTAGGCCACACACTCTGAAGGGGTATAAAGCCATGATGCATTCAACTTATTCCCACATGGTTAAAAAATTCTATGTTTCTGTATACAGATATGTATGAATGGTGTCTGTGTGTGTGCCTGCGTGTAAATGTGAGAACACAAATGATAAAGCTAGTGGAGTTAAAACATTAACAGGTCAATCAAAATAAAGGGTATGTAGACTTTATCCACTATTTGGGCACTTTCAGATTCACAATTTCCAAATAAAGTTTTAAGAAAGCACCCACCATCCCCAAATGTCCCATATTATCTAAAATCACCCTGAAACTCTCATATAACAGGTTTTTTAAAATGCAGCCTTCTTTTTACATATTCAGCCAGCAGTACTCACATTAATAAGTTCCAGATCACACTGACCACGTTCATAAGCAACGCAGGCCAGATGTGGATCTCTCTTCTCACAATACTTTCCAACAACGCGACTGTCATAGTAGGGATTTTCACGAAGAAATCTCTCCGGGTTGTTATTACTGTCTATGTAGATTTTGGCTAAGGCATTGTGAGTAGCAGGCTCTTCACAGCCCTCATGAATTCTGGCCTCTAGCCAAGGCAGAAGTAGTTTCAATCTAGGAAAAAGGGAAAAAAACCTCACACACACATACTATATTATGTACTCTTGACATGCAAACTATGTGGATACCTTATGGTCTATAATGTGCTTTCAGATACTTTTTTTTCCCTTCCCCCTGAGTATTGCTGCATTGCCCAGGCTGAAGTGCAGTGGCTATTCAGTCACAATCACTGTGCACTACAGCCTTGGGTTCAAATGATCTTAGTACCTCAGCCTCCTGAGTAGCTGGCACTACAGGTATACGCCACTGTGCCTGGCTTTATATTAATTTTAATATACAACGATCCTATTACAAATTGGGAAATTAAGACTTGAAAGATGACTGAGTTGCCCAAGAAGAAAAAGAAGGCATATAAGACTATTTTCACTCTCCGAGATTTATCTGCTATATGATATACCTACCTGCTTATATCTGAATAAAAGTGTAGAGATTCACACAGTGTCCTTTCTTTATAACACACAAACTATCTTGACTTTGGAACATTTTGTTTATAGATAGGATGGGGATGTGATATTACATAGGCCAGATTATCTGAGAGTTCTTTCAGCTCTTAACACAATTAACATACAGCATTACCTGCAGCCAAACCCTAAATACATACTGGCAATAAAATCTGGTAGCTTTAGAAGCTCTGGATTTAGTAGTTGTAGCCATCAAGGAGCAGTTTTGCTATACTATGGCTTGTTTTGATAGTTCTGATGACCATCCCTCCTTTTATTTTTAATTTTATTTTTATTTTAAAGACAGGGTCTTATGTTGCTCAAGGTGGAGTGCAGTGGGGCTCAAGTGATCCTCTCGCCTCAGCCTCCCCAGAAGCTGGGACTACAGGCACATGTCACTACACCTGGCCCAAGCCTCTTTCACTGATGATTTAAACATTAACAGCAGCCAAAGAAAAAGCATTATTCTGTTATTTCGGCTATCAAATTCATATAGTTATTATAACACTCCCCTTAGGGAGAAGATACTTAATTTTAATAAATAGAGGGAAAAATCCAGCTCCTCTAAACGTGTGCAACCCAATATGTGCCATGTCAACTTAAAGAATAAAAATTAGCTAAGGCATGTGTAGACTAGTGACTTAGATGTGAACCTAGCTTTTCAGAATATAATTTGTCACTTAAAGACTAAATTATCGAACTGTAACTGCCATTTGCTTGGAATATGCAGTAAGATTCTTTTCAGGTAATAGATTTAAGACTCAACTGAACCTCTTTTTAAACGTTAAATTGTTATGACATAAAATCACTTGAAACTAGGCTCAAACCTTTAAGTCAGTATTAACTGTATATTACCCTTAAATGCAAAATTTTTCCATGTTTGAAACATTCTATTTGAAGCATTGATTGTGGGGAAAAAAAAACATTCTAATATAAATTGTAAGAATATAATCAGTAGGTCACCTATACCAACTCAGGTTAAAATTAAATCCCACAGGCTTTCTTAATTTCTTCTCATATAAACAGCGGAACTTTCCACGAGCATATCACCTCATCAACCTCATTTATGAGGTACTTCCTAAACACTAGTTCCTCAGAATGTTCCAGCTAAAAAAAGACTTCACAGTCTGTGAGTTTTAGAAGCGCTTACACTATATTCTATTGGAAATATATATTATCATATTAAGGTACTATAAACTAAACGTCAGTTTAACTCAAGAGTTGCACAGGGAACTTTTGCCTCACTCTTGAACAAACACCACACTATTTGTTTTTTTTAATCAGCTTTCTCAGGTTGAAAATACCACATTATTTAATCAGTAAAGAATTAGTTGTTAAATATATTGTTATCACACCTAACTAAAAAGGAGACTTACTACATAGTTTATATTAAAAACATATAAAGTCAAACCACATAGCTGTAATTATAAACATGCCAAAAAAATGATCAACCAGGTTAACAGATTTCCTATGACAGCTATAATGTTTCAGAAAACAGACTTTTTTTCTGGCGCTATCAGCTAGTTTATCACCTCTACGTTTGGTGTCTTCAGGAAATTATTCTCCATGTTATTGAGTAGCTTTGGAACAAATGACTACCTGTATTTTTATTACCATGCTAAGAGAGACTAACTTATCGCCGTTAAAATGGTACTACACCTGTTTCTTTTTTCAACTTCAGCAACAAGTTCATCAGTGGAGAATTGACCTCTTACAACCAGAATCAAGTTTTTTATGACATCTTCAGAACAGTCAACATCAAGTAATCCTCCAATAACCACAGGAAGTCGGCTTGGATTCACCTGTGGTTAAAAAAAAAAGAAGAATGTCATTATGTTAATAAGAAAAACAAAGAAGAATTAAAAAAAACATTTATGTGGTCTTGGGGTTGCTCTACTTGAGGAATATCTTTGTGGTGTTCTCTGTATTACCTGGAGTTGAGTATTGTCCTGCCTTACTAGGTTAGGAAAGTTTTCCTGAATAATATCCTGAAGAATATTTTCCAGCTTGGATTCATTCTTTTCATGGCATTCAGGTACACCTATCAAACGTAAATTAGGTCTTTTCACATAGTCCCATTTTTCTTGGAGACTTTGCTCATTCCTTTTTACTTTTTCTTCTCTAATCTTGTCTTCTCGTTTCACTTCATAAAGTTGGTCTTTGACCTCTGATATCCTTTCTTCTGCTTGATCAATTTGAGTGTTAAAACCTGTGCATACTTTGCGGCATTCTTGTATTCTTCAGTTCCATTAATTCACTTACATTCCTCTCTAAATTGTCTATTCTTGTTAGGATTTTGTCAAACTTTTTTTCAAGGTTCTTAGTTTCTTTTTTTTTTTTTTTTGAGACAGAGTTTCGCTCTTGTTACCCAGGCTGGAGTGCAATGGCATGATCTCGGCTCACTGCAAGCTCTGCCTCCTGGGTTCAGCCAAGTCTCCTGCCTCAGCCTCCCGAGTAGCTGGGATTACAGGCACGCGCCACCATGCCCAGCTAATTTTTTGTATTTTCAGTAGAGACGGGGTTTCACCATGTTGACCAGGATGGTCTCGATCTCTTGACCTCGTGATCCACCCGCCTCGGCCTCCCAAAGTGCTGGGATTATAGGCTTGAGCCACGGCGCCCAGCCAGTTCTTAGTTTATTTACATTGGGCTACAACATGTTCTTTTAACTCACAGAAGTTTCTTATTATCCACCTTCTGAAGCCTAATTCTGTTACTGGAACGCGCTCGTTCTCCATCAGGCCTTGTTCCCTTGTTGATGAGGAACTGTGATCCTCTGTAGAGGGAGAGGCATTCTGATTTTGAGTATTCTCAGCCTTTTTATGCTGGTTTCTTCCCGTCATTGTAAATTTATCCACCTGTCGTCTTTGTAATTACCCACTTTCAAATTAGGTCTCCGAGTGGACATCCAACTTGTTAATTCCCAGCGCTGAAATCTGAGCAATCCACTGTGCTGGTTAAAACAGTGGCATCAAGATTCTCTGTGTTTTTCTGCCCGGGAGTCTCCCGTCTGGCTTCCCTCCTGAATCCTTTCTTCAATCAGCTGAATGGGCGACTCTGCCTTCATGGAGCTCCAAACATCAACCAAAAGTGGACCCAGTCCCGTTTACTCTGCACTGAGAACAGCCGCGCCGGCCACAAGAGTCGCACTGGCGACCTGTGGGGCTCCTCCGCTGGGAATCTTCTGGTCGGTGAGCAACAAAAATTTGTCTGAAAGTGTGGCGTCCTCTCATTCTCTGCGCTTTCACTGGGAGCTACAAGCCTGAGCTGCTAGTGATCGGCCATCTTGGATCTCTCTCCTAGAACTTCTACACTGATACCTCAGGGCCTATCAGGTTAGTAGGGCCCTAGGCCACCCAACTTTTTCAACAATATCAGTTCTACTCCTCTATTTTACACACTTGGCATGCATATTTTTTTTCCCTTCCCTGAATCAGCTTGCTAGGAAAGCATGTAAAATTTTAATCCAAGGAAGGATTCTGCTTGGGAAAAAATTATTAAAAGTAGCTGGGCATGGTAGTATGCACCTGCAGTCCCAGATACTTGGGAGGCTAAGGCAGGAGAATTACTTGAGCCCAGGAGTTTAAAGTTAGAATGGGCTGATTGTGCCATTGTATTCCAGGATGGTGACAGAGCAAGACCCTGTCTCAAAACAAACAAAACTCACATTAAAAGCTGCAGACCACTCTTATTGAGCACAGAGTTTCAAAAGGATTTTCAGAATATGAGAAATAAAATCAATAGTAAGATTATACCTTTAAATTACCTACGTATTACTTACCTTCTGTACATATATCTCTATATACTTTTGAAGATTATTTCTATATAAATAAAGCACCAAATCATGGACAAAGTCAAATCGATCACACACAATGATAAGTGGTAGCTGATCTGTTAGTTTTGCTTCCTGAAAAAAAAAAAAACAAAAGGAAGTTTTAATTTTCTCCCTCTTTCAGGTATCAAATCTATGTAAAATATGAGACTCTGTTCTACACTGACAAGAGAGGCTCACACAAACATGGCTCTTCTGTTAAAGAAAGAAATGTCCTAATAGTTGAGTGTGTACATCCCAGTTTCAGTAAAATTTTACTAAGCAATATTTATTCACACAGCAAGATATCAGGTCTTTTTGGTCTTTCCCATATACAACCTTTACCAAAAAACAAGAGTAACAAATTAAGATACTTGAGCCAGCAGTGGCTCTCAGATGATAAATTTACCACACTGGGACTTTCATTAGTAGTAACACTTCAACCGTATTTGAAATCAACTTTATAGTCACATTGTCAAAAATATGGCATAAATTGCTCACATTTGTTTCAAACTAATGATTTTCTATCCCTCCCCAAATCCAATCTATATGATCAGCCTCTAATACTCTATTATAACAAAGCCTGCAAGGAGCAGCATAATGGTGATCACATGTGGCCATAAGAAAAAGGCCAAAAAAAACCCAGCATTTAAAGAAAAGACATCTTTAAATTGCCAACTGCTTTTACCATTACAGATACCAAACTACAATCCTACTTATAGATTGACACAGAAGATGTTATAGACAAGGTAAGTAAAACCTGTACTGGGCATTTACCTGATACATGTCCTGTTACATTCCACAGACATAAGGTACAGCACAAAAAACAACAGTTTCCATCAGGAATTCATTTATACACAGTGAAACATTCCTCAATAAATGATTCCTCTAACAGTCTATTAGGGAAATAGAATTAAGCAGGGTAGAACTTTCCCCAATGATAGCCACTAAGAACATTATTTTCAAGGTTAGAATAAAATGGCTCCTGAGCCTAGGGGATATTAGTTGTTCAATTATAAATAACACAAAGACTACTCTATGAAGTGTTCCAAAGAACACCAAAGTAAATCTTAATTTTAATTTAGCCATCCTAAATTAGAAAATAATGTCTGTAAAGCTGCAGATTTTCCACATTAAGGACGGTCTAAAGCAAGTATTGTTTAACACCATGGAAACTCTGCACTAATAGCTGTTTTGATCATTTCTAGAATCTGTCTGTATCGATGTAAACATTTTAGTATGTCATGTTTTTCCTACTAAAAGAACATCAAAGTATGGATCAACACACTAGTCATCTTACACACATATAAAATATTGTGTACTTTATCACGTACAAATCTATTATTACTCTGTTTTCATGAATAGGTGTTTAAACTTCTGTGGCAAATAACTCCACTTGTGTGAAATACTAACTGTATTCCAAAAGAAAATTTCAGATTTAAAAAGTAGACAAAATCTAGGTTATTTTCTTGATTGCTAAAGTTTGCACATGATTTTATACATGGTAGAAATGTTATTAACACTTTTAAAATATTAAAAATTTTAATATTTACTAAATATTAAAGTATTAAAAAATTACTAAATGTTTAATTAACCCCCAGTTATAATGGTTAAAGATTTTAAGGTCAAATTTGAAATTACATTAACATAGTCAGAGGTTTTCTTTAACATATATTTGTTCATTTGACAAATATTTATGAATACCTAAGTATCAGACTCTGTTCTTAGGTACTGGAGATACAGCAGGGAACAAAGGAAGCAAAGTCCATTCTCTTAAGGAACTTACATTCTAGTGGACGGAGATGTCTCACAGTGGTGTTAAAAAGAAAAGCAAAATGGGGTAGGAATGGGTTCTATTTTACACAGGGCAACCTGAGACATCCTCTCTTACAACACTCAATCAGAAACCCAAAGAAGGTAAAGGAGGTCATGAGAAAGTAGTAGTGCAAGGCACAAGCAAAGGCTCTTGGGCAGACAGGGTTGGGGGAGTTCCAGGAATAGCAAGCAGGCCAGTGTGGTTGAAGCTAAACCAGGAAGGAAAGAAAGAAAGGTAGAAAATAAGATCAAAGGTAGCAAGGTGCAGATCATGGGTCTGATGAACAGTTACATGCTTTCTACAGAGAGCTTACAGTTTACAAACTTAGGGCATGAGCCAAATGATGCGAATGACACAATTTTACTCTGCTCACAGGGAACCTTAAAGGAGAAGTTATGTTCTATCAATCTCTTTATTCCTGGTGGCTAACACACAATTGGCACTCAAATAGTCAAGATCGGAGTCAGAGGATTTTTCTTATGACATAGAGTTTACATACAACACCAGTAAATTATCATGTAACTAGTACCTCTAAAATTAAGTTTAAGAACAGTGATAAGAGGCATTGTAACTATGTACTACAGGTTAACAAAGAATCTAATACGTTCATTCTCAACACTGGCATCAGAGGATGAATGATAGTTGCATCTCAGTACTGAGCTCCCATCTCAAATTATGTAAAAATAAGATACTAAAATCTACCTCTAATCCTGGCTGGCAGTAAATTCCTACAAAAAGTCAGGTACAACTCGAAATCAAAGAAATACTTGCCTAACAGAAATCCCGTTTAGGCTCACTCCACCTTTTTCCCAAGGCTTATCACTTATCAGTAATAGTTACTGCCTAAACATCTATAGCATACAGGTACTTGGTAAACAAACATAGCCTATGGTTGAAGAAACTGAGGCTGAGGTACATTCATTAACTTGCCTGAGGTAACAGCTAGACGTATACTGAATGAACAAACAATAGCTAAGTAGAATTTGAAACAGGTCTGACTGACACTAAAAGCTCATAATCCACATCCACATCCCTACTGTATCAGGCTTGCACCTAATTCACAAGATGGAGGGGAAATCTTCATCTGATGAGATCCCATGGGCTATACAAACCTAAGGCAGTATCATCATGGTACCCAGAGGATTCTTTATTTCTTTGCTAGAGGATTTATTTAAAACTCACAAATGTTATAATCAAATAATAGTTAATTTCATTTGCCTTTCATGCATATAACTCAAATATTAAAATCCAAAGCTAAGGAAGTTATGTTTAAGCATAAAAGCTGAGGACTCAATAAAAACAAAAAGAAATCATGTAAGAATCTGGTAGTATTAACACAGTAACAGAAAACCAAATACTCTATGTTCCTACTAGTAAGTGGGAGCTAAATGATGAGAACACATGGACACAAAGAGGAACAACACACACTGGGCCTACTGAAGGGTGGAAGGTGGGAGGAGGGAAATGATCAAGAAAAATAACTAATGGGTGGTAGGTTTAATACCTGGGTGACAAAACAATCTGTACAGCAAATCCCCATGACATAAGTTTACCTACGTAACAAACCTGCCCATGCACCCCTGAACTTAAAAGCTCAAAAACAACAAAAAAACCCAACACCCCCTGCCCCCAAAGAATCTAGTAGTAGTTTTTTTCTTTTTTAAGAAAACAATAATGATACTCAAAAGAAGGAAGTGAATCAGTAGTATGGGTACGTTAGCCAAGCATAGAGTATCAAATCTTTCTCATTTGGAGGGGTTTTTCAACACCGGAAAGTTTTGGTCTAAACATATCATACTAGCTAGGTTATCCAGAATATTCTTGATGGCCAAGACTTTATAAAGCTATACTTTTTTGAAAAGTGTATCTTTTAATCTAACATATACAGCAATTTCAACATTTTGACTACTCCATTACACTAAAACCCCTAAGGGTTTTGCTATTTAATCTAGAGCCCAGGTAGTAAATTCTTCAAAAGAACTATCTGCCAATGCAATCACAGGCACAAATGATGAGTTTGGGAGCAGAAAAAGCCCACTTTTTGTACTGTATTCTACAATAAACATTTTGGTTTCACTTGTAATTTAAAATTCTTCTAAAACAAAAAATACTTCAGAACTTTCTCTAAAGTCTCAGGAATCATTTTATATATATGTAATATATATATATTGATTATATATAACAATCATTTTATATATATATTATACATATAAAACACACGTATACTAGACTGAGAGAGAGCAGTAATCTAAGTGTTCTTTAGTTTTCCTGGTCTTTTACAGATAGCTTTCAACTTTAAAGCTTTATTTCCCTCACAAAGTAACTGATAGTTACAAGAATAAAGCTAAAGCTAAGTTAAACATTAAACAAAATTAACTGCCCTTAGGGATCTTCTAGAGTTCAGAATCTCTCAATCATTACTCATCCCTGCATCACAGGTGGTCCTTACTTCTCTATAACTGATTTCATGTGTCACAAAGCTAAGCTTTTTTTTGTTTGATCTTACCTTTAATTTATGAATTACATATGAATAATAATATTTTCATTTCTAGAGTTGGGCAAACTTGATGAAAGGTAAACCTATATATTTCTTGACAACTGATCCCTTTGTCTACAATAGAGCCTCCTCAAAATGATATGAAGGGCAAGCTGATGTTAATATTCAAAAGCCTAAATGATTCTAAAACGACATTGAAAGTATAAATCACTTTTCAAAATTTTTCTGTCCAAAATTAAAGGAAATTCCTTTGAAATAGTGCTTTTTTTTCCTTCTGTTAAAGAGATGGTCATTCTTACTCACCAATTTCCTTCTGTATTTCAAAGGAAACCACAGAGCATTATGTTTGGAAGAAATAATCCAACACAACTTAAAGAATGCTAAGAATTTCACATTTAGGGAAAAAATATTTATGAACTACAACCAAACCCCTGTAGAACTGCTGATCTGGAATCCAACTGGAAAACACGTTACTCAAAACCACTTACCTTAAGAAAATTCTTGACTCGCTCAGGATCATAGCAGTTGCTTTCTCTACAGATTCTTTCTACTTCTTTGATTTGCCCAGTCTTGCAAGCTGCCTGAATATATTTAAAGTGCACATCTGGGTCCTGACTAAAGTTAACAATGGATCCCAGAAAATAAAAGAGACCTTAAAAGAAACAAGTAATTACAATTAAGCATAGGCACATTTTTGAGAATGACTGAAAAATATTTATGCAATTAAAAAACTGTTATATTGAGTACTCCCAAATATAAACTGGTTGCTTAAAAAGCTCAATAAAAATACTAATTTTTCCATTGATCAGATCAGTAAAATGGATTTGCACTTTAATCCTAAAGAACGGACAATTCAACCCAATGTTTCCTTTTTTCTTTTTATTGAGACAGGACTCTGTTACCCAGGCTGGGGTACAGTGGCATGATCATAGCTCATTGCAGCCTCAAAGTCCTGGGCTCAAGCAATCCTCCTGCCTCAACCTCTTGAGTAGCTAGACAGGTACATGCCACGATGCTAGGCTAATTTTTAAGAAATTTGGTAAAGATGGGGTCTTGCTATGTCTTGAGTTTGTGGCCTCAAGCAATCCTCCTGCCTCAGCCTCTCAAAGCACTGGGATTATTAAAGGCATAAACCACTGTGCCCTTATCTGGAAAATTTTAAATGAAGACCCCAATACATGGTGTTTTTCAATATGTAGTTGATAGGAAACATACAAAATAATTTGGGAAGAATTTAGTGCAGTATTTTTCAGAAGGACTTTCTGCAATGATGAAAATTTTACCTTTGCCCTCCAATATAAAGCCACTAACCACATGTGGCTATTAAGCACTTGAAATGTGGCTAGAGTGACTGAGTAACTAAATATTAAATTTTATATTTTAATAACTTTAAATGGCAATAGCTACTACATATGGCTAGTGTCTACTGTACTAAACAGTGTAAATTTAGTGCAGAGTTAACATTTTTGAAACTGGGAAAATGAAGAAAACTAGTAGAATCTCTTACCCCTTCTCAATAGAGCACTACTACTAAAAAGAGGAGAGAAAGGTAACTGGGGACCAGAACTTAGTCACCCAACAGTGATTATGTTAGTACCCTGTACAGCAGTGGTTCTCAACTGAGGTGATTTTCCTCACAGGTGACATTTGACAATGTCTGAAGACATTTTTGGTTGTCACAACTGGAGCTGATGGGCTCAGTTTCTAGTGGGCAGAAACCAGGAATGCTGCTAAATATTCTACAAGTATGGGAACACCTCTCTACAATGATTGTTTAGCCTTAAATGTCTACTTAGTTCTAAGGTTGAGAAATCCTGCTAATGACAAACCACAAAATGCCCTTGGCTAGAATCACCTGCCATTATAAGACTCAGATATATAAGCATAAAATGTTATTAAACCTGATCATTAGTACAGATTGAGTATCCCTTATCCAAATGCTTGGGACCAGACATGTTTCAGATTTTTGAACTTTGGAATATTCACATTATGTTTACCTGATCAACATCTCTAATCTGAAAATCCAATTTCTGAAATGCTCCAACGAGCATTTCCTTTGAACTCAAAAAGTTTTGAACTTTGATGCATTTTGGATTTTCAGATTAGGGACACTCAACCTGTATTTTCACTTTTTACAATTTAAACATCACTACATATTTTTCTCTTAAAATTCTACCTTTAATTCATCTATAAAATATCCAAACAGATGGTCTTGTTCACTGCATATCCTTAGGATCCAATATAAAAGGGCCTTGATGACATTATTATTATTATTATTATTTTTCCCTGAAACAGAGTCTCACTCCGTCGCTAGGCTGGAATGCAGTGGCGCAATCTTGGCTCACTGCAACCTCCGACTCCCAGGTTCAAGCAACTCTCCTGCCTCAGCCTCCAGAGTAGCTGGGATTATAGGCACGTACCACCACGCCCAGCTAATTTTTATATTTTTAGTAGAGATGGGGTTTCACCATGTTGGCCAGGATGGTCTCGATCTCCTGACCTTGTGATCTGCCTACCTCGGCCTCCCAAAGTGCTGGGATTACAGGCATGAGACACCACGCCTGGCAACATTTACTGAATAACAAAACTTAAAAAATTAAAATGTCCCATAGAACCAAATTTTTAGAAAGACAAAATTTCCAATAGCCTGATCATAAGCATACCTCTTCTTGGCTATCTTAAGTACTTTTTACAAACTCAAAAACTCCTAATTACCTTCAAAACTCTTGAAAGATTCAAAAAGTTCAATCAGAGACTGAGTTGACAGTTGTTCATGATATTTAGAAGCCACCTGAACACAGATCTGCAGATTCTGACGAATATTGGCAGACAGCATGGCTCTGAGACATTCTAGAGAGTCTTCTACTGATAAGGAACCAAAGTAATTCACTAACCACTACAAGACAAAATAAATGAATGAATGAATAAATGAAACAATGTTGAAACTCATGGAGGTATGAAATTATTAATATTTAGTACTACAAACACATTTTCAGTGTGCCTATTAATCACAACTAACACCATCTATTAGGTAAGAAACTAAAATACCTCAGGGTTAAGAAGATGGGTGTGAACCACTGCACGTTTTATATCATATAAATCAGTGAAGTGTTCTAATGCACGCTGCAGTAAGCCAGCCTTTTCACACAGCTGAGCGATATGAGCCCGGTCATAATGCGTGAACATCTGATTGCCTAGAATAGCATCTGCAACCTGTAAAACCACAAATAAGGTAAGTTTATTGTCCATCCCATTTATATGAGTAATTCAATATCCATATTACATATTAAGGTTTAATAGTGAACTGATAAAAGAAAGTACAAAAGAATATATAATAGCTAAATTTTCTTGTATAAGGAGTAGGCATCTCAGTAGCTTTGAATAACAATCTGAGATGCTCTGCACAATTATTAAAGCAATATTGGAAACATGCCTAAAAAACATTAGAACACATACTTGAGGCGCATGCATAAGGTTCATCTCAAGTAACCGCGTCTGTAAAGGACCTTCAGATGGGCGATTATTCTTCAGTGCATCAAGCAAGAATGCGGTACATTGCTGAATTAGATTGTATTCCATAAAGACATCTACAATCTGCAAAAAAAAGAGATAAAAGAAATTGTTTAAAGATACTATGGAAAGTATGTAGACAAAATTATGCACAAACTCTTTCTTTACCTGAGAATTTATTTGGACACTATAAATGCTTTAAGAACAAATTTTGTCTTCTAGAGAACATAGTTACTTTGAGTTCTGATAAAAACAACTAAAATATTTCAAGATATTACATACTAGCAGAATAGAATCAAACAGATAGACCTTTATTTTTACGAACTTTTGAAAAACAATAACATAAACAATATGAAGAACTCTGAATTGGAAGACTCACACTTCCGGTATGCATCTCTTCCCTCTCCCCACACTTAGGAGCAACCACTATCCTGTTTTATCACCCCCATGTATTTTTTTTTTTTAATAACTATTTTTCTATTTATTTGAAGCACAGTAAAAAAAGAAAAATTGGTACACTTTGGAAATTCAGTGGCACAAGGTACACTGCCATAACTTGAAGGACATTATACAGTAAAAAAAGAAAAAATAAGGAAGTAAGAAAAAAAATTATCCTGTTTCAAACAACTGCATTACATAATTTTACCTGCCCAAACAGACCATTTACAAATATTAGGTCAATAAACTACTAACATCCATAAAAAGATAGCTTTCTTACTAAAATGTCAGAATTTAAAAGATTGGTATCTAAACAAAAGACAAAACAAACTGGAATGAAAGCCTAGATATCACATCTAAAATCGGGGTTTTTCTGTTTGGGCCTTCGTACTCTTCTCTCCCTCTACCATATCCTGCTGGAGTTCCAGGCCCCATTCCTCTAGGACCCTGTCTACCCACAGGCCCCGCACCTCCCTGCCCAAAGTGCTCAGTACGCATGTCACTTCCTATCATGGAACCACTCATGGTTGCTGGTGGAACTCCAGGATTAGCTTCATAACCTATGCCACCACCACCACCACCTAGAGGTGGAAATTTCTGGCCTCCTGAACCATAGGGATCTCCCATGTTCATTGCTCCTCCGCCACCCATTCTCATGTCTCTTTCTCTTGGATCCATGTAGCCCATTCGGCTATAACTTTCCTCTCTTTGGCGCCTCATTTGTTCTTTCATCTCACGCTGACGAATCATCATCTCTTCCTCTCTTCTATGTAGTTCCTCCTCTTGCCTCAATTGCATTTCTTTACGTTTCTGCATTTCTTGATTATGAAGTTCTTCCATGCGTCTTAATTCTTCCTGTTGTCTCATCAGATCTTGGTGCAAAAGATTTGCCTATGTTCATGATAGGCATCTTCCATTTCACTTTCCAATTTGTCTTTTGCATCCTTCATATTTTTTTCATTTGTTCTCTTTGCTGTTTTTCCATTTCATCCAACGACTTCCATCGCTGAGAATATTCGTACTCAAATGTGCCATGCTGGGCAAAACGAGGAGTTTCTCTCTCCTTTTGATACATCGGATTCTTCTGCGCAAGTTTTTCAGGAAGACCATCTTCATCAGCTAGCTGTTCAAGTGGTTCCACGATGACTGGACGAGGAGTTGTTGTCAGCAAGAAAACATCTTCACTGTATCGTTCAAATGCCTTTCTTGCTGCTGGTTTAGAAGCAAATTCAACAATGCCTTTCCCTGTAGATCTTCCACGATCATCCACTATTACAACAGCCCTTTCAATAGGACCAAACTGGCTGAAGGCTTCTTCCAACAGTTCATTGGAAACGTAAGGTGAAAGATTATGAACAGAAAGGGCAGCAGCATGTGTGGCAAAGCGAACTCGAAGCTGTCTACCTCTCATGGGCGTATCATCGAGCTCAGCTTTGGCAATTTCAGCCAAAGCTCTGGATTCAGGCTTAATAAATCCGAATCCTTTGCCTTTGTTGATTAAATCTTTTCCAGGTTCTCCATATTTAACAAATAGTCTTCTGAATTCATCTTCCGTGATATCAGCAGGTAGATTCCCAACAAATAACCGACATCACTGTGTGTAAGTTTTCTCTCCAGGCCTCCTCAAGAGAGAGAAGTTGGCTTTAAAACCCCTCCGAGTCCGAGATTTTCTCCTCGCTGCAGCCGCTGGGCCCAACGGGCGGGGGGCCACTGGTAGTGCTGCTGGTGGTAGGGCGGGTGGTGCTGGTGGCCCCCGCGACGCTCACCGCCGCCTCGTTGCGGCGGCTTCAGGTGGCCTCCAGGAGTGCTTAGGCCCGGACCGCCACCTGGCTTTGGCCCACCAGGCATTTTGCCACCTTTGGGACCGCCCGGGCCTGGGCCCTGCTTAGTCCCCGGACCTGGGCCCGGCCCGTCGCGGGAGGAGGCGGCGAGCCTCCTGCCTGAGGAGGTGTGGTAGGGACCCCAGTGCTTGGCGGGGTGGGTGGCGGCGTCCGGGGAGGGGCCGAGGTGACCGCGGTGAGCGGGGTCCGGGTCGGGCCTGGCCCGGACCCTGGCTGGGTCCCCGAGGTCAGCGGAGTGGTGGGCGGGGCCGAGCTGGAGGCTGGCGGCGCGCTGCCTACTCCGGGAGCAGGACCGGGTACCTGAGCAACAATGGGCTTGCAAGAGTCCTGCGGCGTTGGCAGCGGCTGCTGCTGCTGCTGTGGCGGTTGCTGCTGCTGTTGGTGTGGAGGCGGTGGTGGGATCGGAGGCTTGGGGCCGCTCTGGCCCGGGCCAGGACCCATGGGGCCGCGGTTCTGATTGAAGCCCATGCTGGGCGGCGGGGAACAGAAGTTGTGGAGGCCTCCGCGGCCGTCGCCTCCTCAGCGCCTGTGGAAACCACCACCACCACCGCCGTGACTCTGGAACCGATCCCGAGACATGTCTGTGGTCAAGGGGCGGTGGAGGCAGAAGTGAAGAAGACGCTCAGGAAACGTGGAGGCCACCTTGCTTCTCACAAAATGGCGGATGACACAGGCCGTATTTTTCATATTTTTAACATACACATCTCTAAATAAGTTGTTTTGTGTGTTTTAAAATTACATGCAGACGGTTTCAGACTGTCCATTCTTTTGTAACTTGCTTTTTTTTTTTTGCAAGACATTTGAAGTTTATCCATATAGAATGACAAAGCTGTAATTTTTACAAACTGTAAGTTTTCTCTTTTTTTTCTTCTGGAGAGAGTCTCACTCTGTCGCCCAGGGTGGAGTGCAATGGTACGACCACAGCTCACTGCAGCCTCGACCTCCTAGGTTGAAGCTCTCCATCCACTTCAGCCATCTGGTTGGGACCACAGGCATGTGCCACTATACCCAGCTGACGTTTTCTTTTTTTTTTTTTTTTTTGAGACGGAGTTTCGCTCTTGTTACCCAGGCTGGAGTGCAATGGCGCGATCTCGGCTCACGGCAACCTCCTCCTCCTGGGTTCAGGCAATTCTCCTGCCTCAGCCTCCCGAGTAGCTGGGATTACAGTCATGCGCTACCATGCCCAGCTAATTTTTTTTGTATTTTTAGTAGAGACGGGGTTTCACCATGTTGACCAGGATGGTCTCGATCTATTGACCTCGTGATCCACCCACCTCGGCCTCCCAAAGTGCTGAAATTACAGGCGTGAGCCACCGCGCCCGGCCGACTTTTACATTTTTTATAGCGACAAGGTCTCAGAATGTTGTCCAGACTGGTCTCGAACTCTTGGCCTCAAGCAATCATCCCAAAGTATGGGGATTACAGGCGTGAATCACCACGGCTGGTCCCCATTCTCCGTTTCAATCAGCTTCTACAAAATATATTTTAATGCCATTACCTGTGTGATGTCAGCAAGAGGTTCTTCATCTTGAACTAACATTTGAGCAAACTGCTGTCCCTGATCTGGACTGATTCGCATTACATTTCTCAGCAGAAATATCCAATCTGGAGTGTATCCAACCTATAAACAAAGAAAGACTTAGGTGCTGCTGCTATGTATCAATTTTATAGCATTTAAAGACTTTTTCTACTTCTTGCTAATATAGAACTACTGGTGAAAGCACAAATTCATTTTCAATTTAAGGTGCCCAATTAGACCTTGGTGAGGATATATTTGAAAAAAGACCTGTCAGTTTTTATAATTGGCTTATCCATTTTCTTTTTTCTTTTTTTTTTTTTTGGGACAGTGTCTTGCTTTGTCATGCAAGCTGGAGTGCAGAGGTGCAATCTCGGTTCACTGAAACCTCTGCCCCCTGGGATCAAGTGATCCTCCCACCTTCACCTCCTGAGTAGCTAGGACCACAGGCACACACCACCATGCCCGGCTTTTTTTTTTTTTTTTTTTTTTTTTTTTTTTTTTTTTTAATAAAGACAGGGTTTCACCATATTGCCCAGGCTGGTCATCTCAAAATCCTGAGCTCAAGTGATCTGCCGGCCTTGGCCTCCCAAAGTGCTGGGATTACAGGCGTAAGCCACCACACCTAGCCTGGCTTATCCATTTTCAATGAATGACTATTTGAAAAGTTTGTTCTAACATGTTAAATATGGCCCTGCTTTCTTAAATTCTGATAAGCCATGCAAGAGTAATTGTCTTCATTTAACAAGTATGAATTTGATATGAGGGGTAAGAGAATTTTTATACATTTTGAAGCAAATGAAAGAAAATTCACTATTAAAGTAAACAAGAGTTAATATAGGCTAATTTCTCTGTCAGTTTCAATAATTCATGCTGAGAATTTGTTTAACTGAACTCACTTTTTTAGCATATAAAACAATCTTCTGGACTTGACCTGTTTCTGCAAAGCACTGAATGACTTTATTTGGGACATTAGCCCTTAGGTACACACTAAGTGCCAATGTAGGGTCCACAGATTTCACAAGATCACCCAGTTCTTCAGAACATTCCAGCTGTCCAAGGGAAAAAAAGATTGTTTAGTGATCCATGAACTGTTTTAGAAATAAGCAGTTGACACTATGTCCACTATAAATAATAACTAGTATGAGAGGTACTTAGTTTTACAGAATATATTATAAATATTCAGGGGTTGTGGTTGGTGAACTCTTAATCTTGTAGTCACAGTAATGTCTCAGTTGAATTCTCCACAAATCCTACTTAAAGATAAAAAGATTGCATTTGGATACATACTATAAACTACCTTGTTAGGAATTTAAGTACTTTAAAGCAGAATCTTATACTTCTTGTACTTCTAACTATGAAGAATATTCAGGTATCAGACTCACATCACATGGCCCCGATTTTTCAAAAACAAAAAGCAACTTTTAATGTAATGCTATCAAATGAAAATTTGACACTGAAGAAGCCAGATGAGGTTTACCATAAAGACAGTTATTGAACTCAGAGTATAACCTATATCTCTGAAAGATCTAAGTTCCATCTGCTTGACTTAGATTTAAGCTTATAGGGCAGTAAGGACACTCTTTAAGAATTTTTAGGTAGTGGACAAGCAGATACTCTTGTCTGTGTTATTCAATCTGCCTTACTCATGCAGCTGCCCAATTTGGAAATTCATTTCCGTAGAGTTCTGGTTTACATATTAAAGTTGATTTTCTACTTTGGAGACTAGCTCTTATAAATGATATTTACTCCTGAAAATAAAAAATTGAACTGAACATGCTAATTAATAAATAGTTAATGTCTCTTTTATTAAACCAAAAATGGTCCCATATGACTGTTCACAGAAAAGGTTAATGATACCTAAAGAGCTTTCACCCTGTTACATAGGTCAAATCAATTACCTTGGCTGTACTCACCCTCCCTTATCTTTTTAAAAAATATTATGTATTTATTTCTTTGTTTTTTATTTATTTTATTTTATTTTTTTATGTATTTATTTAATAGGGTCTTGCTGTGTTGTCTAGGCTGGTCTTAAATTCCTGGCATCAAGTGATACTTTTGCCTCAGCCTCCTAAAGTAGTGGAATTACCGGTGTGAGCCACCAAACTCAGCCCTGCCTTATCTTAATCAATTAGGATGGACCTCAGATACTCGATAGTGTGGCTACTCCAGCAGAGACTCCTGTCCAAGCACCCCAAATCTAATGTACTATTCTCTAGTATCTTACAAAATTGTCAAATGCTGGGTCTAGAAACAAGGACTTAGAATTAATAATATAAAAACTGTACTAACATATACTAATGCTGAAAGAATAATAACTAAATGTTATTCACTATTCAGAGTACTTTAAGCAATACTATCTCAGTTTTTGACAATGGTAATTCCATACTACAACTTTGAGGAGAAAGGCCTTTTTTTTATGGTGGTGTGAAAAGAATTAACACTAATAGACAGTTGAAACTTGTTATCTTACAAACAAACAAAATCCTTTGTCTGTTTCTCAGTCACTATTCCACATAAAGAATAAGGTGCTCAGGAAAACGTACTACCATTATATGCTCTGTGTAAAGAGAAATATTGAATAAGTACTGAGTGAATATAAAAGGCATGGAGAAGACCTACTGTAAAGAAAGCTAGTTAACATTTAGAATAGGTTCATATTTAAATAAACTTCAAGAAATCAAGTTAAATATTTTTTCCATGTAACACTAACATTCTGTGAAATCACTGGGAGACAGTATCTTATTGCTATTAGATAGTTGTGCTGCCTTATTAAGATCCATTTTTTTTTTTTTTTTAAGATTGAGTCTCGCTCTATCGCCCAGGCTGGAGTGCAGTGGTGCAGTATCAGCTCACTGCAACCTCCACCTTTTGGGATCAAGTGATTCTCCTGCCTCAGCCTCCTAAGTAGCTGGGATTACAGGCACCCACCATGATGTCCGGCTAATTTTTGTATTTTTAGTAAAGGCGAGGTTTCACCATGTTGGCCAGGCGAGTCTCAAACTCCTGACCTTAAGTGTTCCCCCAACCTCAGATCCCAAAGTTCTAGAATTATAGGCATGAGCCACCACGCCAAGCCAGATCCAACATTTTATATAACATTTTCCTTGTCTACCCAAACATGTTTACCAGCAGCAAATATGGTAAGTTTGATGATACTTTAGAAATTCTAAAAGAAAACATGAAACTTGTATGGGTAGAACTAATGTGCATCTAAAGTGTGGAATGTGGTAGATAAGAGTACATTCCTATGTCCAAATGAGTCACATATATTGACAAATATGATGGATACTGAGGTTAAGTATCTCATACTAAGCTTTCTAAAAGCAAAAGGATAGCAATTGACTTCCAGGTTATTTTAAACACCAAGCAAGAATCCTGGACCATTTAAAAACTTAAACAAAAGAAAGATATCTAACCTCGATATCCATTAAATACATATGTATTTTCAAAAGGAAATAAGTGACCCAATCTTATACAATGTATGTTTTTGTTCTGTTTCTACAAGCAGTAATGGAGACATTTCTGGTGCAGACTAAATGATTTTAACTTGCTAACATCATATTTAATGCAATTAAAACAAGATTATGTCAACACAATTTAACGTACCTTATCTTCTTTTAACCATTTCTCCAAAAGCTGTTTTCGCCCTTGCTGAAGTACAGGCCTACAAAGCTCTAAGGATTCATATTTGTTGAGCTGTCCCTGGTCCAAAAGGATACCAAAATACTGAAGTAGAGGAGAAGTTTGACCTGGCTGGGCTGGAACACTCTGGAACCGACGGATAGTGTCTGGAGTACGAAGAATTCCCTTTAAGGAGGAGAAATGTTAAAAACTCTTCAAAAGTGATCCAAACATCACACTAATTGCCCTGTAGAGATCAATGTTAGGTCAGTCTTAAAGGAATGAGTCTATCTATTCACATCAAGCTATCAAGTTTCAAATCTTCACCATCTGGAGCAAATATTTAGTCACTATCTTTCATATCTCTGGTTCAATGTTATAAGATTATCCAGAATAAAAAATATATCAACTTAATTGCAATGTCAATGTGTAAGAGAATAATTATAATCCTAAAATAGTTATAGCTAGGTAGTATCCTAAGTTCATATTAAGTACAACTTTCATAATATTGGTCAGGAATGTAAGGTGTTAATTCAGTCCACCATAAACTAACATCAAAAGTGATGAGAATAAATTCAGACTAATTTTGATAGCTCTATTCACCATAAAATTGGACAGGATTTATTTCATGTCCAACTTATCAGTAACTATCATTTACGAAGTCAAACAGTATTATACCAAATAACTAAACATTATTACATCTATGTAAAGCAAAGGCTTGTTAGACCTACATATCCTTCTAACAATGATCTAATAAAAACTAATCAAATCCAGAGAAAATTAACCAAATCTAGAGGCAATGACAAGACATTCTACTAAAGGAAAATGTAACCCAAATGTAACCTAAAAACAGTTTCTCTGTAGAAAGCTGGTTCCTTTTCTAGCAATGTATGAAACAGAATATTAACACTAGATTAATGTCATTGACAACTTCATTTTCTTAACTCTTTACCTTTGGTGCATTAGCAGCTACCTTTGCTGCCTCTGAGTAATTTCCCTGGGCAAAAAGAGCATTAAATTTCCGGGCAAAAAGTTCTTCAGCACCAGCTAAGTTGTTACGTACAGCCATTCTCAGAGCCAAATCAGGATTTTGTAGAACATTGGTGATGTAAGGAATTATGTTTTCTTCTTCCACACACACTGACAAAACCTGCAATTTAAAGAATAAAATATAGCTGCAGTGCGTTCATTTGGATACAAATTATACCAAATCTGTTTAGAACAAATTAATACTGTATTACAAAGGTAATGAAATTGTTAATGCTGCCATTAAAAAATAATAAAAGAAAGGAAGGAAGGAAAGGAAGACAAGGGAAAAGAAATTAATTCAAAGACAAATGTCATAGGGTGCTAGGCCATTATGGGGTTCCTAAAATATGGCCATCCTATAATCTGAATAACTTCTTACTTCATTGTCCAAACTAACTGCTTTGATACCATCTCTTAATTCTTAATACAGTCAGTATCAAAGATTAAGATTCCCACTTAATTGAGCTCTGAAAGACAACTCCACATATTTAAAACTTCTTGCCAGGCCTGATGGCTCATGCCTGTAATCCCAGCACTTTGGGAGGCCAAGGCAGGTGGATTACGAGGTCAGGAGTTCGAGACCAGCCTGACCAACATGGCAAAATCCCATCTCTACTAAAAAACATACAAAAATTAGCCAGGTATTGTGGCATGTGTCTGTAATCCTAGCTACTCAGGACACTGAGGCAGGAGAATTGCTTGAACCGGGAGGCATAGGTTGCAGTGAGCCAAGATCGTGCCATTGCACTCTAGTCTGGGCAACAGAGCGAGATTCCGTCTCAAAGAAACAAAAAAAAAAACTTCTTGAGGACTTCAATCTTGATAACCTACAGAAAAATGACATGGAAGAAGTTATGACATCTAAATGACCTCTAGGGTTCACTTAGAAGTTATTTAAGGTACACTCCTTTTAATTTTAGGATTTTTATTTGCAAGAATTTTTTTCAGTAATTTTCATTAATTACATTTTCATTCCTGCAGACCAAATTATATACTCAATGAAGGGAGGGACCACTGAATCATTAAGCACTCATCATAATGCAAAGAACATGGTAGGTGCTTAAAAAAAAATACAATTATCAGCAAAGGACAATTTCTAATTGCTTGTTTGAAAAGGTGCCTACCCTCAAACCTCATTAACACTCAATGCCACAGAATACTTTCTGGCTTGCCCCAAAAGCTGAACTATTGTCAACTGCCATAGAGAAAGGGAGTCCTTCTCCACCCATCCATCCCTTTCTCCACTGCAGAACTAGTTATACGCCCTAGCTGATAAACTACTCAGATTACCCCTAACAGCATTTCTCAACCTAATATAATTGTATAATTCTCAGTCACTGTTCCACATGAGGGAAGGGGGCTTGTCTTTGTTTAATTGTATTACTAGCAATATGCAATTAGTGTGGCATAAAACAAATTTGTTGAATAAATGAACATAGGAAATTTCTGTCCCCAAATCAACAAGAATTAAAAAATACTTGAGAACTCAGTGAACCAAATATATAGGTAACAGTCTGCCCTGCCTGTTCTACTACTCCTTTCAAGGAAAATGAAGAAATTTTAACCTCTAATATTTTATTTCTGTTGGTCCAACCTCCATCCTCAAGGCTTATTTAAAGGAAGTAATAATTACTTTCTCTATAGTTATTTGCATTCCTGAGCCCCAACCTTAACTCAAATCTCACCTCCTATAAAGAATGAAAAAGATCAACAGAAAATCCAGTTCCAACTACATTTTCTAAAGCTTCCTATTGATTGCTGCCTTAGGTTTCCCCAAATATTGAATCCACAGTTTCACCCTTTTCATACTTAAAGATTGTTATAGCAGACTTCTAGCAAACAATATTTAATAAGATCTACTGCAGGGAACAGAAAAGGTTCCAATGTCTTCTAAAGTACTCAGTTCTATCAAATTCAGAATTTAAGCCAGATGTTGACTATAACATCACTTTAATTGAATTTGCTTTTTCAATGCATAGAAGCCACATACTCATTCCTTCAGGGGATATGCCAAGTTAGTAGACTTTAGCAGAAGAGTAGAAGAAAGGCCTGAGGTCCTAAGGTTACTGTAAACACTAAACACTCATCTCTTTACTCAAAGCAGATGGCACATAAAATGTGGGAGGGAAGGGAAAGTAACAATCAACAAGTTCCTAGAATCAGGGTTATGAATACCAAGAATGTATCGTGAAATTATTCAAGACACTTTAGGTCAAGCGTTATCTTAAAACATCAGCACAACAGCAGAAACAAAAAGGGGCCAGGCATGGTGGCTCATGCCTGTAATCGTAGCACTTTAGGAAGCCGAGGTAGGAGGATCACTTGAGCCTAGAAGTTCAAGACCAGTCTGGGCAACACAGTAAGACCCTGTCTCTTTAAAAGAAAAAAAAATTCATAATTATTAAATTATCACTAATCTAGTTCAGCAAAAAAGGCCAATATGTTCTTGATTTTTTTTTTTTTTTTTTGAGACAGAGTCTTGTTCTGTCACCCAGCCTGGAGTACAGTGGCACAATCTCGGCTCATTGCAACCTCTGCCTCCCAGGTTCAAGCAATTCTCTTGCCTCAGACTCCCAATTAGCTGGGATTACAGGCATGCATCACCATAGCCAGCTAATTTTTTGTATTTTTAGTAGAGATGGGGATTCACCATGTTGCCCAGGCTGGTCTCGAATTCCTGAGCTCAGGCAATCTGCCCATGTTGGCCTCCCAAAGTGCTAGGATTACAGGCATGAGCCACCACACCGGGCCTTATTCTTCCTTTTTTGTTTTTTGGAGACAGAATCTGGCTCTGTTGCCCAGGCTGGAGTGCAGTGGTGCAATCTTGGTTCACTGCAACCTGCGCCACCTGGGTTCAAGTGATTCCCCTGCCTCAGTCTCCTGAGGAACTGGGACTACCGGAGTGTACCACCATGCCTGGCTCACAATGCCCAGCTCATGTTTTTTTTGTATTTTTAGTAGAGACGGGGTTACATTATGTTAGCCAGGATGGTCTCATCTCCTGACCTCATGATTCACCTGCCTCAGCCTCCCAAAGTGCTGGGATTACAGGCGAGATCCACTCTGCCCGGCCTATTCTTGATTTTTCTGAGAGACATTAACAACTGAATACCTGAAAGCTACTGAATTTTTAAAACTGCTTTTGTCACAAACAGTGACTGGTGCTAGAAATACAATTTACTAAAGACAATCTCTTTTTCTAATGAAGAATTATGACTGCAACAGCTAAGCAAACAATTTTAGTAAGTATGGTAAGTGTTAAGAGGAGGGTACCATAAGTTCTAGGAGCATAAAGCAGAAGCACCTAACCAGGTCTGGAGTTAAGGTGGAGCATGGGTAGGTAGGGATGGACTCTCTTTCCGTATATGAAGGAATTGTCTCTTCATATACATAACATCTTCAAATATTAATTGAATCAAGGAGAAACAAAACCTATCTACTTCCTTTGTTCATTATCTGGAAAACATGCTAATTTGGAGGAAACAAGTAAAAGGCAAGACTAGTACAATATTAAGTTTTAAAATTTTTAGCCATTTTTCAGAAAATTAAGATACCTCCTGGTAAAATATTCTTATTAATATTAAAGTAGGCTGGGCCCAGTGGTTCACGCTGTAATCCCAGCCCTTTGGGAGGCCAAGGCAGGCAGATCACGAGGTTAGGAGTTTGAGACCAGCCTGGCCAACATGGTGAAACCCCATCTCTACTAAAAATACAAAAATTAGCCAGGTGTGGTGGTGGGCACCTGTAATCCCAGCTACTTGGTAGGCTGAGGCAGGAGAATTGCTTGAACTCAGGAGGCAGAGGTTGCAGTGAGCTGAGACTGAGCCACTGCACTCCAGCCTGGGTAATGGAGCAAGACTCCATTTGGGGGTGGAGGGGATTAAAATGACAAAGAACCACTTGCTAGATGGTGTGAAGAGGTTTTTCAAAGTTTATAAATTTAGAACAGATAATATTTCCCTATCAAACTGATTAACTTTCCAGGCATCCCACAAGAGGTACTAAAACGTATCACTTTCTAATATGAAATAGTTAGTAATGCTTAATTAAGGAGCTAGGAAAAGGGATGTAAATAGAGTTCTTATCCCTGTAGCTGATAATTGCTCTGCCTTGGAGATAACAGAAAACCCCTTAAGAAGAATATGAGTCTGTCAAATATAACCCTAAATTGTTTCTTTCCATGGAGAATAACTTCTTTTGACAGTAAAGCATATATGCAGTCTGAGATGGCAATACACCAGTTTCTCTCTCTGAGACAGGATTAAAGCGAGACTCTGTATTCATACATATCTCTATTTTTTTTTTTTGAGATGGAGTTTCACTTGTTACCCAGGCTGGAGTGCAATGGCACCATCTCTGTTCACCGCAACCTCCGCCTCCTGGATTCAAGCAATTCTCCCGCCTCAGCCTCCTGAGTAGCTGGGATTACAGGCACACGCCACCATGCCCAGCTAATTTTTTGTATTTTTAGTAGAGACGGGGTTTCACCATGTTGACCAGGATGGTATCCATATCTTGACCTCGTGATCCACCCGCCTCGGCCTCCCAAAGTGCTGGGATTACAGGCTTGAGCCACCACGCCTGGCCACACATCTCTATTTTTAGGTATATATTATTTTCTTTTTTTATAAGCTTACATCATGCTTTGATACATATTATTCTCTAATACCCAAAGTTACCATTTACTTTTTGGAAACAAACTAACAGTAATGTGTTATTTTATTTTCTATTTTATTACGTTGGGGGGAATTTCTCTTTTAAAGTACAGGATTGTTCCCAAATGATCAGGTTATTTTATTTTATTGCTTAAGTTTCAAGACTTCCTTACCTGTCCCTTTCTGTTTACACCAATTATTCCAGCTGTGGCTTCATGAGGTGCAGTAACAAAAATTGTTTCTCCACTGATTCTATTCATGTAGATGCAGGTACCAGTCTCAAGATCATAGAGGTGGATATAACCATATTTGGTTATCAAGAATACCACATCATGCTTTTCACTGATCTGTACAAAGAAAATCAACACTTTAGTAAAATAATGAATCTACAAACGGAAAATAAAAACATTCAGTCTAATTCCATTTTAGAGATGGTAAAATTCTAAAACAAGAGGCTTATTTGAAAAATTAAAAGCTAATATTTAAAGTTTCCTTCATTTTTACAGCACATTTAAATATGGATATCCCAAGCTTTTACATTAAACCTAAGAATATGAATGAAATTGATAAAAGGAAAGTCAATTCAAAACTCAGGATAGCACAGTTATTACAGGCATACCTCATTTTACTGCACTTTGCAGTTCAGATGAATCTTTACAAATGGAAGATTTATGGCAACCTGCATCCAGCAAGCCTACTGGCACTATTTTCCAACAGTATGTGCTCTCTTCAGTGTCTCTGTGTCACATTTTCATTAATTATTACAGTATTTCAAACCTTTTAATTATTATATATGTTATGTTGATCTGTGACCAGTGATCTTTGATGTTACTACTGTAATTATTTTAGGGTGCTATGAATCACACCCACATAAGACAGCAAACTTAACCAATAAATATTATGTGTGTTCCGCATGTTTTCACTCACAGGCGGGTGATGAACAATGAGAACACTTAGGCACAGGGAAGGGAACAACACTTACAGGGCTAGGTGGGGGGTGGAGGGGAGGGGAGGGACTTAGGGGTGGGGTAGAGTGAGGGTGAGGAGGATGGGGAGGGATAACAACGGGAGAAATGCCTGATGTAGGTGATGGGTGTAGGTGAATGGAGACAGCAAACCATCATGGCATGTATGTACCTATGCAACAATCCTGCAGGATGCAGGATGCGTACATGTACCCCAGAGCCCAAAGTACAAAAAAGAAAATTGTGTGTGTTCTGACTGCTCCACCAACCAGCTGTTATCCCATTTTTTCCCCTTTTCTCAGGCCTCTGTATTCTCTGAAACACAGCAATAATGAAATTAGGCCTATTAATAACCCTACAATTGCCTCTACGTGTTCTAGCTCTCATTTTAAATCAAAAGCTAGAATTGATTTTATGTTTAGTGAGAAAGACATGTCCAAAGCCAAGATAGGCTGAACGGTGGGCCTTTTGACTTAGCTAAGTTGTGAATACAAAGGAAAAGTTCTTGAAGGAAATTCAAAGTACTACTCCAGTGAACACTCAAATGATAAGAAAACTTAATAGCTTTCTTGCTGCTATGGAGAAAAGTGCACTGGTACAGTAGCTTACACATGTAATCCCAGTCTCATTTTCTTACATCTAAGGAAATTACCACAAATTCAAACTCTAGGTACTTGTCATATTGAGGTAATGTTTTGCAGCCAAAGAGAAAACTATTATACTTTTGAATTTATGTAACTATCTAAATGTGTAGTTTTTTTCTCTTTTAAAATGTTATAGGCTGGGTGCAGTGGCTCATGCCAGTAATCCTAGCACTTTGGGAAGCCAAGGTGGGCGGACTGCCTGAGTTAGGAGTTCGAGACCAGCCTGGGCAACATGGCAAAACCCCGTCTCCACTTAAATACAAAAGAAATTGGCTGGGCGCGGTGGCTCACGCCTGTAATCCTAGCACTTTGGGAGGCCAAGGTGGGTGGATCACCTGAGGTCAGGAGTTCAAGATCAGCCTGTAGTCCCAACTACTTGGGAGGGTAAGGCAGGAGAATTGCTTGAACCTGGAAGGTGGAGGTTGCAGTGAGCCAAGATGGCACCACTGCACTCCAGACTGGGTGACAGAGTGAGACTCTGTCTCTTAAAAAAAAGTTATACATGGCTGGGCGTGGTGGCTCATGCCTGTAATCTCAGCACTTTGGGAGGCTGAGGCAAGTGGATCACTTGAGGTCAGGAGTTTGATATCAGCCTGACCAACATGGTAAAACCCTGTCTCTCTACTAAAAATACAAAAAAAAAAATATATATATATATCCAGGCGTGGTGATGCATTCCTGTAATCACAGCTACACAGGAAGCTGAGGCACAAGAATTGCTTGAACCTGGGAGGTGGAGGTTGCAGTGAGCCGAGATTGCACCACTACATTCCAGCTCGGGTGACAGAGCAAGACCCTGTCTCAAATAAAAATGTTATACACTAGCCAGGTGCAGTGGTATGTGTCTGTAGTCCCAGCTACACAGGAGGCTGAAGCAGAAGGATCACTTAGGGCCAGGAGTTTAAGACCAGCCTGGGCTGGCGTGGTGGCTCATGCTCATAATCCCAGCACTTTGGGAGGCCGAGGTGGGCAGACCATTTGAGGTCAGGAGTTCCAGAGCAGCCTGACCAACACAGTGAAACCCTATCTGTAATAAAAATACAAAAATTAGCTGGTTGTGGTGGCAGGCACCTATAGTCCCAGCTACGCAGGAGGCTGAGGCATGATAATCTTTTGAACCCAGGAGGCAGAGATTGCAGTGAGCCGAGATTGTGCCACTGCATTCCAGTCTGGGCAATAGATTTAGTCTCAAAAAAGAAAAGAAAGGAAAAGAAAAGGACCAGCATGGGCACACAGTGAGACATTATCTCTAAAAAATTTTTTAAATAGACAGGTGTAGCAACATGTGCCTATAGTCCTATCTACTCTTAGCTACTCTGGAGGCTGAGGCAAGAGGATGAATTGAGCCCAGGAGTTTAAATTCAAGGCTGCAGTGAGCTATGATCATACCACCGCATTCCAGCCTGGGCAACAGAGGGAGACTCTGTCTCTTAAAAAAAAAAGAAAAGAAAAGAAAGAAGGGATGGCGGGAGGGAAGAAAGGAAAGAAAAAAGAAAAGGAAAGAAGGGAAAGAAAGGAAAGGAAAGAAGAAAGGAAGGAAGGAAGGGAGAGAGAGAGAGACAAAGAGAGATCAAACCAGCTACAACATTCTCTTAAGCCAAAGCTTAATCTAGTGCAAGGCCCTAGCTCTCCTCAATTCTGCCAAGGCTCAGAGAGGTGAGAAAGCAACAGAAGAAAAATTTGAATGTAGCAGAAGTTGGTTGGTAAGGTTTAAGGAAAGGTTTAAGGAGGTTTTATGTCATCTCTATAACATAAAAGTACATAGTGAAATAGCAAGTACTGATGTAGAAGCTGCAGCAAGTTATATAGAAGATCTAGGTAAGATCATTGAAGGTGGCCACACTAAACAACAGATTTTCAATGTGGAAGAAACAGTCTTCTATGGGAGGATGATGCCATCTAGGACTTTTACATCTATAGAGATGTCAATGCGTGGCTTTAAAGGATAGCCTGACTCTCTTATTAGGAACTAATGATGCTGGTGACTTTAAGTTGAAGTCAATGCTCATTTGCTATTCCAAAAATCCTAGAACACTCAAGAAATTATGCTAAATCTACTTTGCCCGGGCTATAGAAATGGAACACCAAAGCCCTGATGACAGCACATCTGTTTACAGCATTGTTTATGAAATATTTTATGCCTACTGTTGAGACCTACTGCTCAGAAAAAAAAGATTCCCTTTGAAATATTGCTGCTCATCAACAATGCACAGTCACTGAAGAGCTCTGATGGAGATATACAAGGATATTAATATTGCTTTCATGCCTGCTAAGACAACATCCATTCTGAAGCCTATGAACCAAAGAAGTAATTTTGACTTACAAGTCTTCTTATTTAAGAAATATATTTCATAAGACCACAGCTGCCATTGATAGTGATTCATCTGATAGATCTGGGCAAAGTAAATTTAAGTGAATCTGGAAAGGATTTACCACAGTAAATTTAAGTAATGGTGAATCTGGAAAGGATTCATCATTCTAGATGTCATTAAGAACATTCATGATTCATGGGAAGTCAAAATATCAACATTAAAAGAAATTTGGAAGAAGCTGATTCCAACCTTCAAAGATGATTGAGGGAGGGGTTCAAGACTAAAGTGGAGCAAATAACTGTAGATGTGGTGGAAATAGCAAGAAAACTACAATTGAAATGGAGCCTAAAAGTATGACTGAATTACTATAATCTCATAGTAAAGGAGCTGCTTCTTCAGGATGGGCAAAGAAAAGTAGTTTCTTGAGATGCAATCTACTCCTCGTGAAGGTGCTGTGAACACTGCTGAATTACAACAATGGATTTAAATTATTAAAGAAACTTAGCTAATAAAGCAGTGGCAGGGTTTGAAAGAATTGACTCCAATTTTGAAAGATCTAATCTGGGTAAAATGCTACCAAATGGCATTGCATAGAGAAATCTTTTGCAAAATAGTCAATTAATGCAGCAAACTTCTTTGATGTCTTATTTGAAGAAACTAGCACAGCCACCTCAACCTTCAGCAACCACCACTCTGATTCGGCAGCCACTGACATTGACACAAGACTCTCCACAAGCAAAAAGATCACAACTTGCTAAAGGCTCAAATAATCATTAATATTTTTTAGCAATAAAGTATTTTTAAATTACAGTATGTATACTGTTTTTCTAGACAATGCTATTTCATACTTTACAGTAGACTACCGTATAGGGTAAATATAACTTTTATCTGCACTGGGAAACCAAAGAACTCTTATGACTCACTTTCCTGTGATATTTACTTTATTGTGGTGGTCTGGAACCAAATCTCATAATATGTTCAAGGTATGCCTGTATATGAAAGGCCAAGGTATTATTTTACAAAGCTTCACTAATACACTCTATAAGAGTATTCTTTTAAGCATCACTTAAATTATATCTACCGTGAATACTCTTTGGGTTAATTTCTTTTAAGAGGAGAGATTTTTAAAAAGTCATTTATTTTGCTTAAAATACCTGCATTGCAACAGGAAAATCATTTTGTGCTTCCGGAGGAAAGAAAACATCCACTGCCTTCTTTGGAAAGGGCTGGTTCCCCGTAGGTGGTGTGCCAACTTCAATAATATGTAACTGTTCAAAAGAAAATAAAAATGTATATAAACCTACACATTAGCAGTTGATCAAGGAAGCTTTATTTACAGCCCCCAAAAGGAAACAACCAACATGTTCCATAAGAGATCAATGTTAAATGGTTTTGGTTACATCCATACCATGGAATACTTGGTAATAAAAAGGAAAAAAACTTCCACGAACTATATGGTGATTGAAAAAAAAGAAGCCAATCTTAAAAGGTCATATACTGTATGATTCCATTTATGTAACATTCCTGAAGTGACAAAATTATAGAGATGGAGAATAAATTAGTGGTTGCCAGGAGCTGGGGATGGTGTGAGAAAGGGGGAGTGGGTGTGACTCTACAGTCATAAGGGAAATCACTGTGGTGATAAAATAGTTATCTATTCATAACAAAATGGCACAGAATCATACAATTGTACCAATGTCAATTTCCTGGTTTTCTACTGTACTACAGCTGTGTAAGATGTAGCCATTGGGAGAAACTGGGTAAAGAACACAGGGGACTATTCTGTACTGTCTTTGCAGCTTCCTATGAAGCTGTGAAATGACTTTCATGTTATTTCAAGATAAATATGTTTTTAAAAATCAGATGATACTCAGGAGGCTGAGGCAGGAGAATCGCTTGAATCTGGAGATGGAGGTTGCAGGGAACTGGGATCACACCACTGCCCTCCAGCCTGGGCGACTCGGCGAGACTCCATCTCAAAAAAAGTCAGCTGAATATCTGAAATAATCAGACCTCAAATAATCTACCTGAAATAAATGATATAGAAGGGTAATACAATACCTACAATGGTATTTTTCTCCTAGCTTTCAATTTTAGTTTAGGATTTCCAAATAGAAATCTAACCTCAGTTGTTAAATTCTTCTCTACCTATATATATATATGCTAAAGCAAAAGGAATATATATCTAATTTGAGTTGTCTTTCTAATCACAAACATCCCACAAATTAGATGAGAGCATTTTGGTTTAAAATATCCAATGCTGCACATAAGCCGGGCAAGAGAAAAGTAAATAATCTCAATGAGAAAGTACTATATATTTTTCTTAGCCTTGTCAGAAACGAACTCAGACAAAAAATAATTCAGTTTCCAAGACAAACACCATATGAATGTTACGGGGTCTCATCCTTCATCAGGATGACTAGCCATACTGAAAAAAATTGATATCTTCCTTCAAAAGCCATGGCAGACAGGATATACCACCATATATTAAATAACAGGCTCAAGAACCTATAAACAGGTTTTCAGATATAGTTTAAAATGACATTGAAACTTTTTTCTAGTAGAACTTTTCAATAAATGTCTTGGCCTTATTTTATTTTATTTTTTTCTTGTTTTGAGACAGAGTTAAATTCTTGTTGCCCAGGCTGGAGTGCAATGTCACGATCTCAGTTCATTGCAACCTCCACCTCCCAGGTACAAGCTATTCTCCTGTCTCAGCCTCCCAAGTAGCTTGGATTACAGGCATGTGCCACCAAGCCCAGCTAATTTTTTTGTATTTAGTAGAGATGGAGTTTCACCATATTAGTCAGGTTGGTTGCGAACTCCTGACCTCAGGTGATCCACCTGCCTTGGCCTCCCAAAGTGCTGGGATTATAGGTGTTAGCGACCGCATCCAGCCTGGTCTTACACTTTAAGGATAATATCTAATTTCTAAAACTACATGTTTTTTTCTGTTTAAATTCCATCAATTCAGATCTAAATATCAGTGCTTTCTACCCTTGTCACATTAAGTATTGGTAGCATTATTCCTCAATTCAGGGACTATTGTGAAATTTTAAGCAGATTTGTATCTCCTCGATTATTGTTTCCTCTCTGCTGATAGGCTACAGATGATCATATTTTAAGCAATCTCTATCTCAATTTTCAAAAACTGCTTAGTTACCAAGAGAAAGAGACACACGTCCTAACAAAGGTGAAGTTCAAATTTTTTGGTCTGCCTAGAATCTAAACCCCTTCCTAATGGAACAACAAGAGGGAGGACACTCTTTACAAGTTTGTTGGTGGTAGAACCGGCCTTCTGTTTTAGAAGCACCAAATAATTATTTCCAAACCTCTCAGACGTAAAATGTGGGCAACTGACCTTGCCTATAACTGAACTTTGAATAGGGAGCTAGAAACATAAAGGTATTAGGATTTCAGAGATTTTACTCTGGTAGTAGAAATAGTAGTCAAATCAAATTTCCAAGCATCCAGCAATGAAATTATGGATTCAGAAGTGTCCTGAGAGTTGTGTGAAATGGTTGTGGGCTAGGATCTTGACCACTGCCCATTTTCCATTATTTCTCCTCATTTCCCAATCTTGGTTGTACAGCTTCCCCAGCTGCTGTAAACTATCCAATATCCTTCACTAAACAGCCCATGCTCTAATCAACCAGACCTTGTTTCTATTACCTGCAACTAAGAAGTCTAATATACAAAGTATTACAATTTGTTCAGGTGATTCCAACTTGTGGCCATGGTTGAAAACCTCTAACTTAAGGCAATGTTATTCAACTGTAGTTTACATTACCTCTATATCAAGCCATATAAAGTATTTAAAATGCATATTATATTGGGAAACCAAGGCGGGAAGGTCACTTGGGGCCCAGAAGTTTGAGACCAGCCTGGGGAATATAGTGAGGCCCTCTCTCTACAAAAATAAAAAAAATTGCCAGGCATGGTGGCATGTGCCTGTAGTCTCTCTCAGCTACTCAGGAGGCTGAGACAGAAGGATCACTTGAGCCTGGAAGGTAAGGGCTGCCATGAGTGAGCCCATGAGTGCGCCACTGCACTTAAGCCTGGGCAAACAGAGTGACACACTGTCTCAAAAAACAAAAAATAACAAAAAAAATTATGTGCACCACTTACTAAATCAAACTCTCTAGATGTACAGCATATAAAAATGTACACTCTAGCAATCAAAATGAAGAACATAAACAGCCAACAGAAAAAGCTGTGAAAGAACATTATTCATTTTAGACAAGTATCACTAGATGCAAAATTTGAACAAATTAAGTCACTACAAATGTGAATACTAAAAATAAGTAGGAAAGGAGAAGGCTATTTTGAAATTAGATGACTGATTTGTGGCAAAAAGCCAAATACAAGTTCTCATTAAAATAATTACCAAAGCTAAAACTTACCTTCCCTCCAGCTTGGCCCCGGACTGCAAAACAAAATAACGTTGATTCTTCTGCATTTCCTTCCATCTTAAACTGTGCAAAGCTAGCTGCATGTCCTTCAATGGGCTGAGATACTTTCCGATCTACAGAATATAGCTGCATAGCTCCCACCACACGATTTTGCTACAAAAGATCAAAGAGAATAATGTTTGGAGACCCATAAACCAAAAACTCTCCGATTCATCAAGTAATGAAATAATTAGAATGCTCTGTCATCTTTAGCAGGATTTGTAATTATTTGTTACTTTTGTCTTTCAACTTAAAATCAGCCCCAAACATTATCTTGTTAAAATTTAACATAAATGTTTAAAATGTGCCTCATATACTCCATAATAAATGGAGTATATGAGGCAGTAAATACTCCATAATAAATCCCAAATCATTCTTACAGAAACTCAATTTCTACTCAATCTCCACAGAAGAGCTAAAAATGCTTGAGAAGAGTATTCTGAAATTATATGTCAGTGTAGCAAAGGAGGGAGGAAGGAAGAAAGGGAGGGAGGCAGGGAGGGAGGAAGAAGGGATGAGAGGGAGGAAAGAAAAAGAGAAAAAAAGTTTTTCAAATAAGTGAAATTCAACAGGACTGAATACACAAAGACCTAATCTCAAAACTGCATTCTGGGCACAACAGTTCTCTAAACATCTTCTTTATAAAAAACAAAATAACCAAACAACAACAACAACAACTAGTTAAAATGTTACCTGTGCAGATATACCAGTTAGAAGTAACCACTTTTGTTTTGCATCTGTACGATAATTGATAATCTGGCACCCTGCAAGGCTAGAATGGCGATCGAACATTTTCACTGGCTGAGACTCTCCTTCCATACTCCAGTGATAAACTGCATTATCCGTAACAAGAGCAACCGTATTCAAAGAGATCCATTTCCAAAAGGTGACATCATCAGTCATAGTATGAGCCTTCATTTTACTTTTCATTTCAATGTTAAAAATCTGAAGAGTTTTCCCAGCTAAAAACAAAATCAAGAATGATAAATCATTTAAAAAGTAAAGTTTAGAATAAATACCTACCTAGACTAGCTCTGTAACTTCCAAACAAAACTAGTTCTATCACGAGACTAATAACTACAGGAGTTGCATCAATATAGCAGCAACCATTAAAGGGGTAACAGTTAAGACTAAGCAAACAATCTACATCTACATTTTAAGCAAAAACTATATCACCTCTAATAAACACATTTTAAACATACAGAATGACTTCCATGAAATTCTAAATCCCAACTGGGATCTAATGAATAGTTTCCTTAACAACTGAAAACAAAGCTATCACCTTCATACTTGTAATTAAGTATGCTTACTTTACAAATAAACTTAGTTGCATGTACACAAGACAAAACAACTCTGATAACAAACACATGGGGAAAATGTACTTTTTAAAGGCAGTCATCTCTTATATGACTAAATCTTGTGGAAACTGCTTTTTAAAAAGAAGATCTGCTTCAATTCTGTTTTGTTGCCACTAGCACATGAGAGAAGTGCATGCTACGTTTAACTGGTTTAAGGTAACAAAGGGAAGGTAGAGGTGCTGAAGGAAAGGAGAGGGGGAGACAAAGGAAGAGGATAGTTTCAGATGCTATTAATATACTGGAGATAAAAACAAAGTTCAAGCTTCATCCAATTAAGAAAGCAAGCATTTAGTTAAAAAAAGGGTGAAATTTAACTGAGTGTTAACAGTCCACTGAGTCAGATGCAAAGGCTTATAATTTGAAATCCATCAGTTCAAAATGTGATTTAGTATAAATTAAGAGAGGCCAAAGACCACAACTATCACTAGGCTGTCAAGATTAGTCTTTAGAAACTAAGAAAAACCTGAGCCACAGAGAATCTGGCTCCCGAAGGACCAAAATCTTAAGATTGGGGTGCTGGGGGGACACAGGGGGGAGCAAAACATACAGCTTTTATACTACAACCCTCCTTACCACATGTGCAAAAATTTCTTTCATAAAATGAAGAATGTTATTCCCATCCCACACAGTATGTAAACCACAACCAGACTTGAAGAATTGTGAGAGTTACAGTCCTGTTTATAAAAAGAAGCCAAAGGGTTCAAAACTGGCTTCGGAGGGAAGCAGTATTTTGGAATGACTTACTTTCCTTTGCTGCCTTTCCCAACCCCCAGATTATTAGGGGTTGGAGTATATATAAATGGGGTGGTTTGGGAAGGGGGACAAGGGATGACAGCTTGACCCCATAGTGCAGACATATAGGCACAAATCTGTAATGCTATTGTACAGTGCTCTGAAAATCTTTTCAATTTATTCTTTTTATAGAACAGGACAATAACTAATACAATCTAATTTAAGATAACTCACCATCTGCACACATAAGAAAGCGTTAAGAAATGTGATAAGATAACAACAATATTAAAAATAGAAAAGAATTTTGGCAAAATTAAAATGATGGCCTTTTAATAGAGAGGTATGGGAATTGCTAAAGACCTGAATTTAAATTCTTTAAAGAGTGTGAAGGAAGCTTAATACCCTAAATAGAAGTAATAGAAGTAAAACACTTACTGTCACAAAACATCTGGTCCTGAGTGAAAGCTGGACCATTTTTCCTCGAGATAAAATCAGCTTCTATCTTAGATATGTGATAGTGACTTATTTGTTTGAATATGCTTGTCCTACCCAACACTGTTTACTCTCCAACTAGTATTATTACTACATACAAAGTTTAAATCATATAGAAAGGTCAAAGTTCAGCACCTCTAACAGCCACGAATTTATCAAGAAATTACTGGGAACTTGAACTTTTCTTCCTTCAATCGAAATGAAAAACAAAGCAAAAAAAAAAAAAAAAGGCAATCAAATGCCTCAAGAGTCAGTTTGTCACCGAGCCCTCTTAAGAACATCTGTTTTAAAGGGTCAATTAGTCTCATTCTGAAGTTCAAAGGAATATAGGCTCCCTGACAGTCTAAGAGTCATTGAACTCTGTTTAGACTAAGCTGCACGGTTCTCTGCTGTTGACAGTTAAAAAGTTAGTCTGAACAAACTCAAATACCATTTACTTAAGAGCTTTAATACCCTCCTATAAACAAACACACTTTTAATAATTACTGTAAATTCAAGCCATTTCTAGAACCCAATTAAGTGAAAAACAAGCCTGAAGTGTAAGAAAGGCACAGAATCAAAGGCAAGTGTATCATCATAACAAGATTCTGCAATGTTTAGGTGCTAATATTAGTAAAGTATGTTCTATTCCAGAATATGAATCACTAATTTGTTTCCTCTGTAGAAAGATAAGTTTAGTGCAGTCTTATATCAGATACAAAATTTAAATGCATTTATTCTAAAAATCATTCTAAGTCAATCTACGTTAAGACATTTCACAGAAACATCACAAGTAAAAGTCATTAAAGTGGTTTAAATCAAGTTCAGTATTAGCAGATCTATTTTCTTTAACCAAATTTAATCAATATACTTAAAAGGTAAACTCTAGTTATTGTACTTGCATAAATACATAGGAAGAGTTGGCTGGGCACAGTGGCTCACGCCTATAATCCCAGCACTTTGGGAGGCCGATGCAAGTGGATCACAAGGTCAGGAGTTCAAGACCAGCCTGGCCACCATAGTGAAACCCTGTCTCTACTAAAAATACAAAAGAATTAGCCAGGCATGGTAGCAGGGAGCTACAGCCTTCCAGCTACTAGGGAGGCTGAGGCAAGAGAATCACTTAAACCTGGAAGGCCAAGGTTGCAGTAAGCTGAGATTGAGTCACTGTACTCCAGCCTGGGCAACAAAAGTGAAACTCTGTCTTAAAAGAAAAAAAAATACCACACAGGAAGAGTTTTAAGAAAAACTCACAATCTTTTATACCTTTCAGTGCAATTACTTTGCTAGCTGGATTCATGATGGCACTGTCTGCTGAAATTGGTCTTCGAATTGGATTACTTGGGTCGTTCATATCAATGATTACCACCTGGGCCTGCTCTCCTACTTTTTCTCTAATGCAGATGAATTTGTCAGACTCCATAGTCAGGGTACTGAAGCCAATGTTTGCTGGGTTGATACCCAGGTTCTGGAGCTAGAAAAAATAGTAATAATAAACCATGTTACCAAGTGGTTTCGAAAGACTTGACATTCATATGTGTTCATCACACAAATCCTCACTTAACATTAATGCTTCAAGGTCACCATAACATCTATATTATCTTAAAGTGAGACAATTCATAGCCAAGTACTGGACCTTCTTTTCTTCAAACATGACATTCAACTGTTTCAACTAAGAAGTAGAACAAATACAGATGGAGTTACAGGAAAAAGCAACATCTGCAAGCTAGCATTTATGGTTCAAGGGGTTTGAGGTAATTAAGTTTCTGAATTTATTTTAAGACCTTGGAACTACTGGACCTGTCCTCTTATCCCCCTTAACATGTAGTAGTTACTTGTTCATACTTTAAGAATCTGAAAAATAAAGTTACAAGCATAAAAAGATTGAAAATGTCACAGAGTTTTTGATCTAAATAAAGGAACTTGAATAGCAAGAGCAAACACATTCTAATTCTGTGCAAAAAGTGCCAAAACAAAGTTATGTGAGAGGGATCTTGTCAAAGACTATATAACTAAAGCAATGTGTTCAAAGGAGGCAGGTTTGAGAATTCTCAAAAGAAAGAGCGTGTGATAAAGCACAAAGATGTAAAAGCGTGGTTGGCTACGGGAACTACAAGTACTTTTTATAACACTATAGTCTAAGATCGGCTTGAGGAAGCACAGAATTAAGGTTAGAGAGATAAGCAATGGCCAGACTGACAAGCTAAAACATACCACAGGAAGAATCCTGAGTTTATTCTACAGGCAAAAGGAGCTACTTAAGGATTTTAACAATGAAAATAATGGAATTAGATTTGCTTTGTGCACTCAGAAAATACTAAAATATTATGCTAAACAAATATAGTGGATCTAAAGATGGTAGGTCTCTGCAAGCCAACTAAGTATGTAAGAACAAAAGTCACTTGTTACTGGCAGGAAATCTCTACCAGAGTGGGTCATTAATACTCTGGGTGACTAACTGGTGTAACATATTAAGTTCTACTAAAACAAATTACATGAAGGCTTTATTTTATTAGCCTTGGCCAGACTAGTTTTATCCCTTTCCTCCAAGGGTCATAAATTCACATGGTACAAAACACACACACACAATATTCACATGGTAAAAAATACACACACATTCACATGGTACAACACACACACACGCACAGAAGAAAAAGCATGGAAAAGACAAACCAAGACTTTCTGTCATCCTTGTCCTCTAGCAATACAGTTTCCCTCCCCAGACACCAACACTGTCACTATTATGGACTAAATCAGCCAAGTTAACTGTATTTTATTTAAATTCTTTAGTCAAACTCTTCTGCCAATAGTGTTTAAATGTAACCAGCCCAGGCTCTGAATAAGATATATCGTAAGACTACAAGACTACATTTTACTTTCTCTTCACTATTCTACCTCAATGACTGCTGGCACTGAGTTATAAATGTTATAACTCAGTTATAAAGTATAGTTACAATAACTCAGTCACTGAATATAGGGGCAAGGAGTCAAACAACTGTCTAACCATTAATACAAACATCATAATAAAGTAGAAGATTAACCTGCTTTACAAGCTCAAGTATATGCTGTAACGCAAGGCAAATACACTAGCTTTAAAGTATGTAACGTATAATGTATTTGGTTATAGTAAAACGTTATAAACCATTAATTTTAACTTCTTCCTGACTTTAACTTTTTTTTTGAGACAGGGTCTCACATCTATTTTTCTAAGTAAAGAGTCCTTAGATATGTTTAATTGATAATTAGCCTTTCTGATAATTGGAGAAAATATTCCAGTGGGCCTATAAAGTTCATAGTTATATACCTAAAAGCAAGAAATTATCTCCTAAGCTACCCCGTAAGAATTCTATGTTTCGAAGTCTCTACCAAACCTTCACCTCAGGCACTGAGTTTCACCTGTCACAGTTTAAGTCCCACAGTGTTTGAGGAAGTCAGAGTAAAAATAGTGTTAGTCAAATAGTGAAATTAAAATCAAAACCACAAAAGGATGCAAACCAGAGATACTACTAACTGAACCCCAAATGATTCTAACAGATTCCTTCTCACCCTTCAACTTCAGAGGTAGGTGGAAGATGACTTTAAGAAAACACTATCAGAAAATAAAGAGGAGGAAAAAAGGAAAGTCAAACAACCTGTGTTTCTAATTCCTTGCTAGATCCCCAGAAAAAAGCACTAAGAAAAACATGCTGTATCAGTTAGCAATGACCTTCAGCCTCAGGGTGTTTTACTTGTAGAAAAAAACCAAAGATTTGGTCTGGCAACTTGGCTCACACCTATAAATCCCAGCACAGACGAGAGGATCACTTGAGCCCAGGAGTTTGAGACCAGCCTGGGCAACATAGCAAGACCCCATCTCTGTAAAAATTAAAAAAAAATAAGTATATAAAAGATATGGCTTTAAAGGGACAGAACTGCCTGCAACCCTCATCTATGTAATCCTTATATTACTTTCTCATTAAACACATGCTACTAAGAGAGCTATGCATATATATTTTTGATCTCCTTCAGGAATGTACTAGTACTACTAGTCAAAATACTCCATGTTAAATAGACATAAATCCTTTATTTAAAAAATGCAAAATTAAGCAGCAGGCAAGTGACAAAACTTTTTTCCTTTTTCAGCCAGAGTCTTCTCTGTCGCCAAGCTGGAGTGCAGTGGTGCAATCTCGATCTCAGCTCACTGCTACTTCTGCCTCCCGGGGTTCAAGCAATTCTCCTGCCTCAGCCTAATATTGTGCCTGGCCATATCAAACTCTTAATGGCACATGTTTAAACATATTAAAAAGCACACTTAAGTGATGACAATTTACATAACTGAACAGGACCCTGCTCCTTACTAAAAAGCCTTCCTACTTGTTAGGAAAAAAAGATAGGAACTTTGACCGGGTATGGTGGCTCATGCCTGTAATCCCAGCATTTGGGAGGCCAAGGTGGGCAGATCATGAGGTCAGGAGATCGATACCATCCTGGCTAAAAGGGTGAAACCACATCTCTACTAAAAACACAAAAATTAGCTGGGTATGGTGGGGCCCACCTGTAATCCCAGCTACTCAGGAGGCTGAGGCAGGAGAATCACTTTAACCCTGGGAGGTGGAGGTTATAGTGAGCTGAGATCGAGATTGTGCCACTGCACTCCAGCCTGGGGCAACAGAGTGTGTCTCTGTCTCAAAAAAAAAAAAAAAAAAAAAAAAAAGACAGGAACTTCAAGTGACCCATTCCTATTGGCTAACAAGGTTAAATTTGCTTCCACCTCTTCAAATAAGGTAGGTAAGATTTTTTTCTTACTGGTGTTCCTTTCGAATGAGAATGCCCAGAACACTCAGTAATTCTTCCCATATTTTCCTGTGACATATTCAAAAGAGAAATATGCCAAAACAAACAATAATAGGACAAGCCACTACCATTAATTCCAAGTCTGGATCCCTTACAGTAGGATCATATAGCAGGGTTGCCATACTATATAACTATGTCTAGTAATATCAATATAGATGAAAACTTTTAAAATGCAACATATTCTAAAACAGGTTTAATTTTCAAAACAGCACATATTAACCATAAAGTATTCTCAGGCAATTATAAAGGTGTGAGGGTATATAAGTTATACCACATAAACTGAATTATATTTTTATACTTTCTTTATTCAGACAGGGTCTCATTTTGTTGCCCAGACTGGAGTGTACTATCACTGCAGCCTTGACCTCCCAGGCTCAAGTGATCGTCCTACCTCAACCTCCTCAGTACTTGAGACCACAGGTGCCACCATGCCTGGCTAATTTTTTTTTTTTTTAAGAGACAGGGTCTCCTTATGTTTCCCAGGACTCCTGCGTTTAAGCAATCCTCCCACCTTGACCTCCAAGTGTTAGGATTACAGGTATGAGCCACTGTCCCCAGCCAGAAACTGAATTATAGACTACGGAACTAACCTTGGATAAAGTCAAAGGACATACACAACATTTGCTATAAACTTGCAGCTGCTGGGCGTGGTGGCTCACGCCTGTAATCCTAGCACTTTGGGAGGCCGAGGTGGGTGAATCACCTGAGGTCAGGAGTTCAAGACCAGCCTGGCCATTGTGGTGAAACCCCATCTTTAAAAAAAAAAATTTTTTTTAATAAAAAATAAAAAAATAAACTTGCAGCTATTTTCGGAGGATGTATCTGAAATGCATGTAGTTTATCTGGATACACAGAGTACCCAAACTACAGCTACATTTTATTATCCTCTCAATCTGCAAAATGCCATTGCTATTGAAGCTTGAGATATTCTATTTTAAGATAGGCTTGGAAATTCCTATGATAAAGTTTTTTTTTTTAACTTAAAAGAATTTTTATTTTGCTGTTATAAGAATATGGAGTCAGGCCCGGCGCGGTGGCTCACGCCTATAATCCCAGCACTTTGGGAGGCCAAGGCGGGTGGATCACGAGGTCAACAGATCAAGACCATCCTGGTCAACAAGGTGAAACCCCGTCTCTACTAAAAATACAAAAATTAGCTGGGCATGGTAGTGCGCGACTGTAGTCCCAGCTACTCGGGAGGCTGAGGCAGAAGAATTGCTTGAACCCAGAAGGCGGAGGTTGCGGTGAGCCGAGGTCGCGCCATTGCACTTCAGCCTGGGTAACAACAGTGAAACTCCAACTCAAAAAAAAAAAAAAAAAAAAAAGAATATGGAGTCAATAAACTAGGGTTCAAAAGAGGGTTTTTTTTTTAAAGTTATGTGCATACAGTAAAACACTAAAATCTTACGAAAGGTTATACTATGAAAAGTCACCCATCCCATCATTCCAGTAATACCCTTCTCCCCCAAGCAATTAGAGAGATACTTTTGCATCTCAGAGCTATCCTGTAGCATATGAAAGTATGTATTTCCTCCTTCCTTTTCCAAAAGAATGGCACAAGACACAAAAGTATACAAATAAACTTCTTCTTTTTATAGAAAAGCACCCAAACTGTATAACTCATTTGGTTTCCAGATTAGA